TCTTCAGTGCCCTGGATGCCGAAACTGGGCGTCATGTATATGAGCATGGGCTTACAGGAGAGCTGGCGCAGAACCGCACCAGAATTCTGGTTACACACCATGTCGGATTATGTCTTCCTCGGACCGACTATTGTGTTCTTCTTGAGAACGGCTACATGACGCACGCTGGGACAGTGGAACAAGTGCGCGCTGCACATGGCTTAACTGAGTTCCTCCAGGGGTTGAATGCCGAGATGAGAGATTTACAGGACAGGGAAATTGCACGGGATGCCTCATTTAGGAAGCGCTCATCGGTTGGCCCTCCACCTCCAACTGAAAGCCACACCCCAAAGCAATTCACGCAGGACGAAGATCGCGCGACGGGGTCAATACCTCTGAAGGTATACGCCACATATATGACGAAGGGGAATAGCTGGCTGGCATGGACCTGCACCATCCTGATGTTTGCAACCTTTATGGCCCTCATAGTCGGTCGAGTAAGTTAACTATTTCTAATCGTGATATGAACATGTTTTCTAATTTCTCAGTCATGGTGGGTGAGTCTCTGGACAAGTCCTAAGACTGTGTCTCACACGACGGAGTCAACGACAATCTGGGATGATACGATAGATCGATTCAAGGCTGTTCGCGTCGACAATGACCTCATCTTCTATCTCAGTGTCTACCTAGCGTTGTCGGCTGCTGCATGTATCATCGGTGCTCTGCGACAGTTTGCAATCACTTACGCATCCCTTCAATCTTCACGCCAACTTTTCCAAGACTTACTCGCAGTCGTCCTCCGGGCACCCATGCGCTGGCTCGATACGGTGCCCCTTGGTCGGATCTTGAACCGGTTCACGTCCGACATCTATACGGTGGACTGGCGGCTTGCCTTTGATCTCGGACATTTTGTGTACAAGGCACTAGAGCTTGCCGGCATTATGGTTGCTGGTCTTCTCGTATCACCATTATTGCTTGTGTTTGCCTGCTTGTTGTTGCTTTTCTGCCTCTACCTATCAAATTCATACCTCGCCGGGGCGAGAGAATTGAAGCGGTTGGAAAGCAACTCCAAAAGTCCCGTCATGGAGCTATTCGATTCTAGTTTGGCAGGCCTCACAACAATTCGTGCGTTCCACAAAGCAGACGGATACATTCAGAAGATGTATTCAAAGATCGACCGCCACGCCCAGACGGTGTGGAATTCATGGCTTTTCAACAGATGGCTGTCCTTCCGGATGAGCATTGTCGGTGCTGTTTTCTCAACAGGAGCAGCTGCACTGGTCGTATATGTTCCCACCATACCTGCAGCACTGGCGGGCTTTGCAATTAGCTTCGCCCTGCAATATAATTACGCCGTGTCTATGGGTCTTCGCTTCTACGCCGAGATGGAGATGGACATGAACGCTACCGAGCGGGTACTGGAATACTCGAACATCGAAACAGAAGACCAAGGAGGCTATGAGCCACCAGCTGCATGGCCAGTACGTGGGCGTGTGGAAGTCGAGGACTTGGTAGTCAGCTATGCGCCCGATCTCCCACCTGTCCTGAATGGACTCAGTTTCAACATGCAACCCAACCAGCGAATCGGTGTCGTGGGCCGCACAGGAGCTGGGAAGTCCTCACTAACTCTGGCCCTGTTCCGATTCTTAGAAGCTAGAGAAGGTCGTATCATCATTGACGGTTTGGATGTATCCAAGATGACTCTTCAAGCACTCCGCAGCCGCTTGGCTATCATTCCCCAGGATCCAGTTCTCTTCTCAGGAACCGTGCGATCCAACCTAGATCCGTTTCATGAGTATACGGACACGGAGTTGTACAATGCGCTGGAACGCGTACATCTCCTTTCATTCGAAGACGCTATTACACTCGCCTCCGGTTCTTATCATGGCTCGTCCAGTGGTAGCGACACGGTAGCATCGACGCCTATGTCACCTGCCGGTGGACCTTCTAAACCTTCTAGCTTTTTCACATCCTTAGCCTCGCCTATATCCGAGGGTGGACTCAACCTTTCTCAGGGCCAGCGCCAGCTTCTTTGTCTCGCCCGTGCTATCGTTGCACAGCCTAAGATCATGATCCTAGACGAGGCCACGTCGGCCGTGGACATGGAGACCGATGCACTTATCCAACGCTCAATCCGGTCCGAGTTCGGACGAAATGAATCCTCTTTACTCGTCATCGCTCATCGACTTAGCACAATCGCCGACTTCGATCGAATTCTTGTGATGGACGCAGGCAAGGCAGTAGAGTTCGGACCACCACGAGAACTACTCGGAATCGAAGGCGGCGTCTTCAGGAACTTGGTCGAGAACAGCGGCGAAAGGGCCGTCCTGGAACAGATGATTCTTGGGAAAGGAAATTGAATAATACCAACCTAGTAATGGGCCAAGCGTCTGGCGAGGCCTGTTGAGTTAATGTTCATGACAAATTGTATAGCCTGCTTCATTCATTTCAGATACTCGTATAATATCCAGTGTGAAATTAACCATCATCAATCTCGAACATGACTGTCTTCCTACCCGTAATTTTCCTACCACCCTCTAGGCCAACCATCACTCCCAAGTACAAGTCGATACCTCCTCTGCGCCTCCACCACGCTGTTCCGCTGCACCACTCCCTCAAACTCCGGGACCCAAGCTCTCGGTACCGCGATGTCTAGCTTTTTCCAACTACGAGTGGACGCCAATTCCTCCCATGGCGCAATCCAATCCCATTCTTCTTGGTTTATCCACTGCACGGGGGTTCCACCATGATGTGGCAACCCCGCGATAGAGAACCGAAGATCCTTGAGGTTCGTCAGCTCACTGTGCAGGATCCTGAAGATTTCCTCATAGAAAGACTTGAATCGGAGGTCGATATGAGGAGGCCACTTCATGATTCGGTAGATATCGATTTCAACAGAGAGTGATACGATGAGTGCCAGATGGTCCCGTGGCATGACGCGCGACAGGCGGAAGAGCTGATCGATACCATGGGTGAAAACGAATGTCGTAGAATTGTAAAGTATTGGTAGCGTTTCTTGATATCTGCAAATCGGTTAGTAATTATTTTATGGTTAGGTTGAGCCGTATTTGAGGTTAAGATACTCACACTCTCCGACAAGATCTTAGCCAATTCACCGCATTTAATTTATACTCGAACCCCTCCTTTACCCAGGCACGTGAGCCGAGTTTTAACATCGCCTCTTCAGCACCGGCGTGCTCAGGACACTGGAACATTTTATCGCGGCAGTTTTCACCATCGTCGCACACTCGATGCCACCATTTCCACTGACCTCGTTGGGGGTGGAAGTTGAAATCGATATGAACTCGGCGGTTCCCAAAGGCGAAGAGATATATCAAATTGTGCACCTCGGGTGGAAGACGGGAAAAGAATGGACTTTGACTCTGCGCGTGAATGTCTACGGATGATTTATTGTGAGGCCTATTGTCACTTAATGTGGACAACAGGGAGGAATAGTTTGGCGGAAGGCTTGGGAGGTGATTGGGATCAGTGGGAGACCCATTAACACGACAAGTATCCTTGTCGATACCGACGGATTCCAGGATGGCGCGAGACCAGTTAGGGATGTCGTTGATTGACGCTGATGCTGGAGCTGGGTCTGGGTCTGGTATTAAGAATGGCGATGGCCTTGATGACTCCGGGTCTCGGTTATTACGGTTGAAAACCTTATGGAACAACCGTGATGGTGCCATACTTTGTTGTATCTATGCCTGGTTGCTTCTTGGACAAGTAGGCATGAAGTTGCACTTACTCATTTTACCCCTCTGGGGACGAGGCTGAGGCTGAAGCGCCCGGTGCACGTCCCATCCAGTATCTGTTGATCGGCAGCCACGTTACCCCAGACTAACCTTGATCCCGCATAGTTTGGAACTCAATCCTCGTCGCATGAACTCTTGGCTGTCTGAGATTTAGTAAGCCTTGTCGTCTTGTCACCTATCATGAAACCTGCTATGGTTTTATGTGATTTGAAACAAATCTCCTTGTTTGGGCAAAAGTTAAGTAGAACGGCAAATAAAGGACAGCTGGGGAATGTGAGCAAGCAAAAGGGACTGGATACTGCATTATTGGATTACCCATTGACTGAGGCTATGAGGATACGCTGTATTTTCCAGAGACACACTTCGTCCTCATCATCACGTAAGGGGCGAGCTCGGTTATTTGGGTATGGTATTTCCATTCCTGAGGACCATCCCAGTATGGCTGCGTCTTCAGCTTCTCGCCTGATTCATAATTCACTTTTGATTTGACCAGGGCATTGGTACGGACGACAGGGACGCGTAGTAGCTGGAGCACGAGCAGTTAAACGGATGCTCAAACGGCGGCACTGAAGGTCAGAGTGCCCATTGACAATTTCAAACCCAGGCAATAAGAGCACTAAAAAGCACGCAAGGGAGGGGTACTGATTTCTCATTCGAACCTGCCGGAAAGCAAATCCGGCTGCACATTTGGGACAGGAATTGAGTGAGCCGAATACGCCGAGTACGGCCTAAGCTAAGCTATTTCGTAACTCTAACTGAAATAAAGGTGTTCCTCGTTCTCCACTACAACGGGCGCCAACCACTAATGAATATTCATTACCCCCATTTTTCATCAGATCGGAATATATCGGCAAGGGAAAAATCAATCCATTAGCAACAAAATTGGGTATGAATAATAATAATTTGGTAACGAAATCAGAAACAATCCAATAAGACTCAAGTATTAGGTAAGGATATAAACCCCACGGGGTCAACATCTAACCTGATTGGCACATCGGTAAACAAAGTTAAGCTTATTGGGACCTGAATTTCTATAGTTTTGGACCTTTGTTTGGAGTCGTTTGGAGACCGCTCATACGAATCCAATTTACATGGCATTTTCATAACAAAATCCTTTGCCTTTAGCGCAACTCTCAATAACCGCCCCAACAAAAAGGTGGAGTCAATGCGAGTGTATATAACGGGAGACTTCTCTCCCAGTCCCCCGGCAAACCCCCCGACACTCAACGCCGTACCTGTACTGAACATAACCCTAACGCCAACATGGTCCGCAGCATCCACATTGCCGTCCTTGACGTTGATATTCCTCCTCGCAAACTTTATGAATCGCACGGCCTATGCAGTGCTCACTTCCGTAACATCCTACAAGAGACTGCCTCACGTTTGAACGAGACCTCCCTAGCCCACGATGACCCCATCGACATATCAGTCACTCCATATGACATCCGAGGAGGACATTATCCTGACTTGCGCAAGCTAAGAGGTCATCCAGACCACCTTGCTTACCCCGATACCTCTCAAATCGATGCCATCTTGATCACAGGCGGCGCACCCGGCGTATACGAAATGGACATGTCGCCCTGGATGCAGCGCCTGCAGACCTTTCTCCAGACAGTCTTCGAACAATACCCAGAGGTCCGAATCTTAGGTACTTGCTTTGGACACCAGCTTATCGGACATGCTCTGATGAGAAACCCGGCCGACACGGAGCGAGAGGTGTTCGTTGAGAAATGTCCCCTCGGGAGAGAAGTGGGTATATACACCGTTCAGTTGGAGAAGGACTTCGTCCAGGCTTTTCCATTGGCACTAGGTCATTTGCCGCAGGAACAACTGAGAATCCAGATGTTCCATGGTGATCGTGTCATGGCAGTTAAGAAGGGATCTGCTAGCACGCTCGATGAGAAGGCTTCTCTTCCTGCGCCATGGATTAATGTCGGAAGCACACCTATTTGTCCCATTCAGGGGCTGTACTACCCGGGAAGGGTACTATCTGTCCAAGGTCATTATGAGCTGGACGCGTTCGGTATGCAGAACATGTGTTTGGAGTTTGCACCGAGCTTCGGATGGAAGGATTCGAAGCTTGCATTGTTTCTAGAGCAGGTTGGTCCACATGTGGCGGAGCGACGAGACGATGCGAGGTCCTTTGCTACTGCTGTTGTTTGTTTTTTGGCGGGTATGGAGGAGCTTCGAATTGGCGAATAGGGCGAATGTATGTATGTACTTTTGTTAAGACTGACCAATCTATCTTCTATTCAACACTTACCTCCGAGTCTGCTTCACATATCCCTGGGCTGTGAACAGTACATCTATATATCATCTGTTCTCTCAGGACATCCTTGAGCAAGTCCATTATTATGGCGGTCTTGTTGTCCTCTTTTCATATTCCTTTTTTTTTATCTCTTCTATTAATTTTGCTCTTGTTGTTTTGTTATACCCATGTATCCAGTCTGTGTTACAAAATAAGCCCCATGTTAATATCTATAGCGTTCAGTAAACATCTACATTATCCAATATTCCAATAAACGTATGTTCCTGAATTAAAATATAATAAACGAATCTGCGTAGAAGGAACGAGAACCCAATATACTAAAGACACGTCATCCACCGACTCCTCAACACACACCTCTACCAGACCTCCGCAACAACATCTACCATTATCCTACCCTTTGAATTACAAGCAACCACCTCAGTAATAGAGAGGGTTCTCGGGATCCGTCAAGTCAAACACAACACTAGAATGCGGCTTCGCGCCACCCCTCTCCGGAAACTCCTTATTGAAGTCAATCGACCGGTTGAAGCTCAAGCTACCATCCTCATTCAAGTCGATGTACAGCGCCTTGAAATCAGCTGGAGTGTTGATCAATCCGATCTCACCGGTCTGCACGAAGTAATCCGTGACGACGATATGCTTCTGGTCAGGTGTCACCTTGACATAGTGCGGGCCGACAGTTGGCTGATCCTCGTCTGGGTCATCAAGGCGCTTGACGTTGTTGAGATCGCTGATGTCTAGGGCTGCGATGTGGTTTGCGGTTGTTAGAGTGAGGTAGATGAAGCGGCCGTCTTGGGTAATGTCCGTGCTGTTCAAACTATGGTCAGTGACTCTTGCGAGAAATCCCATTGTGTGGAAGATATGACATACTAGATTGCAGTTGTATCACGAGCCTTAGGGCCTAGGTCATAGAGAAGCTCTGCTCTACCGGGCTTGCCCTTGGCATCTTTCTGTCCGGGATAGATGATCCAGACTTGGCCCAGGTGGACTGCTGTGGCGAGAGCAGCGCCATCGGGGTTTCCGGGGATGAATTTGACGTCTTGGATACCACCTCCCTATGTCTTTATTAGCAACCAGAAAGCGACAGATGAGCTATGTTTGGGAAGGACGCACGTCTGGGATGGTAATGGTGTTGAGAATTTTCTTAGTCTCCAAATCCCACAATCTAAGTGTGTTCGCGCGCCGGATTCCCGTACTAGGCTTCAAGATACTGATAGGCTCGACGAAGTCAGAAGTGAGAATGAAGTTTCTCTCCCAGTCAATGCTAAGACCATGAGGAGAGAATTGCTCCCCGAGAATGTTGAGCGTTCCGTCTAGATCTTCCGGCCATTCGTGGATGATGTTGAAGTCTGCGTCTGTCTCAACCAGACGTCCTGGAGATGTGCCCAGTGCGGAGCCCATGTAAGTAATGTAGAATCCGCCATCTGGCTTGGCGCGGATCTCATCTGCAATGGATGAGAGCAGGGCACGATTGCTTTTCTTGAATGTTGGCCGGTAGGGGTTGGTGGTGTCGAAGTAGAAGGCCGTGTCCTGATGCATTGTGAGTACGGGCATGTTGGGAAGATGTACCGTGCGTGTTTACCTGTGTTTTCAGCAGCGACAAGAGCCCACCACCAACTAGGGTCTTGCCGTCGAGAGAGGGTCCAAGGTGATGGGGGTCGTTGCCGCTAGATGGGACATCTGTTACCCAGAGAAGAGTACCGAAAGTATCCTACAACTATGTTAGCAGTGTCCAGATTCCATCTTCATGAGGGGAATTCTTACGTCGTCGAGACTGTATGTAGCAAGGAAGTCTAGAAGCTGCATTAGATACTGTACAATGACCACCTGTCGGCATATACACACCCTTGTGGAACTTGTCTCCAGAGCCAGTCCAAAAGTAGCCAATCTTCTTTGGCTTGATATCGCTTGGAGTGAAGGGTGGACTCTCCAGAGGAGGGGTAGGCACTTGCAAAATGGGCAAAGGAGGGGCATTCTCAGTGAGAGGTTCAGTCACTCCCGGAATGAGTGGAATCAGAGGAGGCAAGGAAAGACATTTTCCGAGAGAGGCCAGAGAGACCGCGTACACCAGAGATGATTTCATCTCGATTATGATACTTGGTAGGAAGTTGTATCGACTGTTCAAATGAGAGACCAGGGTGGGAATGGAAGGTTTGCTGATTTACGCGATGAGAAGATTTGAGCAAGATACTTCCTTATATATTCATCTCCCATGTCCTCCTTTGCTGCCATTACGCTGAATATGCTATCTCGCGTTAGTATATGCTCAATTGGACCTCCCGCATACGACATCCTTCCACAGAAGCACGCAAAATTTGCTTTAAAATTATATTTCTCGAGGGTATTTGGAATCTTGCAACGAAAGACAAGCACTAAGGACATGATCCGCGGTCTGTTGAGTCCAGCCATCGGTGTTTACCTCTTGGCATCTATAACGAGGAGAGTAGGTAGTGTGCACGAGCGGAAGTGTGATTGAGCATAACACGAATTTCCAAATGACGCTTTACATGCTACTTGATGTCGTGATCAGGTACAGATAGATCAATATGTACGCTAATGCAGGGTAGGTGATACTACTCAGGAACCCAGGTCGGGCAATGCAAGGGCGCCCAGTTCATCAGCCAAGCCTATCTAAAAAGACGCATCCAAAGCGTGGTGATTCAGTCAGGAATCCAGATGATGCCGATGGCGAATACGAGTGCAGCTATGAGCATTCAACAGTGCCAGCCGGTAAAGGCGAACTGATTCAGGCCTTGATGGCTGCAAAGCGACGATCTCCTTTGACCTTAGAACCGATAATCGCCATGTCATTTCTGATGCCAAGCCAGTTACTAACCTATCAATGACCGGGCTCACTGAAGTCTAATAAAGTTAGAAAGTATCCATGGAGTGCTTGTTATACTCTTGTCTTGTCGTTTTCGTGTTCTGGCAACTTATCTAATTTTCTCAACTGGGAAAGATATACACCAGCAGGTCTTTCAGATAACAGAAACTACATAACTACTCCAAATAATTAAATATTATCTAACCATGATCTCTCCTATCTAAGGTCATTTTGTGACTGAGAAGTGGGCAAACCAAAATATCATGTTGTGCATGCCAAGACCACAACAAAAGCCCTCATTCCAAATAGGGTTATGTAAATGCCGATATCGAGGGGGCAAGAAGGTATTTACGAGCCAAACTTATGTACCAAACTGCACTAGACGTTAAATTAAGTTTTAGGAGCCAAGTAGAGGGTTCCTGGAGCCAAGTAAGAGCTTTTACAAAACCCCAGCGTACAGCGGGGGACCCTGGATTTCATCACAATGCCAAGCATGTCGTTATACGTCCGGAATGCTGATCTGCGCCGCTAGGGATTTGTTGACTACGCCTACCGTAAGATAGTGCTTAAAACGTGAGTGGCCTCATTTAAAGGAAATTATTGCGAATGTTTATTGAACTTTGTTGCTCCTGCGAATGTGGGATGGCTCTACACCAGCACCAACATCGGGATTTACATATCAAATTCGTCGAATGAAGAGGATATGTCGTGATCATGAATTCCCCAAGATGGGCCAAGAGGAGGGGTTGAATTTAGAAGTATTTATCTGGTAAATATACCCATGATGTAGGACCCATCTCTGTTCCCCAAGCTCCCTCTGGCGAATATCTTTGCGGCTACAGTTATTCGCACCCAAAGATATACTCCACCATGAAGGCCGCGAGCCTCGCATTCATTAGTTTTCTGCCGTCCGTTCTTGGGGCAGTTGTTCATGACAAGCGCTCCGGCTTTAAGGACGGCCAACCTATAAGTGACAATGGCAAAGGAGCACCACTCCTAGGTAAGACCGGGAACCCCAAAATCACCAACACTGTCCTTCAAAGATAGTACTCACATCCTCTACTACAGGTGGTACAAACAAAGCACTTGACCTGCAAAACCCAGATAACCTTGGCCAACCCAGTACCGACAACGGCTTCGTCCCTAACCTCAAATGGAGCTTTTCTGACTCCAAAACAAGGCTCTTCCCGGGCGGGTGGGTACGCGAGCAAGTCATCCAAGATCTGCCGCAGAGCCATGATATTTCTGGTGCGCAACAGCATCTGAAAAAAGGTGCCATTCGGGAACTTCATTGGCATCGCGTCGTGAGTGATACCCTATATACTCTTTGCCCTTAGGAAGAAATAGTTTGTCTGACGATACTTTTCCCTAGGCTGAATGGGGCTTCCTATACTCTGGCTCTCTCTTGCTTTCCGGTGTAGATGAAAATGGCCAGTTCACGACCGAAAAACTGGAAGAAGGAGACATCTGGTATTTTCCTAAAGGTGTTGCGCACAACGTGCAAGGCCTTGATGATGAGAATGAATACCTTCTAGTCTTTGATGATGGCGACTTTGAGAAAGTTGGGTGAGTTTCATCCCCATCCGCCAGGAGAGTTGACTCTGACAGGAGAAAATGCAAGGACAACTTTCATGGTCGATGATTGGATAACCCACACACCACGCGATATTCTCGCGAAGAACTTCGGGGTTGACCCCTCAGTCTTCGACAAAGTGCCCGAGAAATTTCCTTACATCCTTAATGGGACGGTCAGCGAAGAGGCGAACGAGACTCCCAAAGGCACATTAACCGGTAACAGTTCTTACGTGTATCACACGTACAAACACCCCTCTGAGCCGGTGCCTGGTAGTGGCGGTACCTTTAGGAAGATTGATTCGAAGAATTTCCCCGTCAGTCAGACTATCGCTGCCGCATTGGTGGAGCTTGAGCCCAAAGGGTTGCGGGAGTTGCATTGGCATCCAAACGTGAGTTGTTCTCCCTCGGTGAGAGCTGTCGTTCGATTACTGAATGCACGTATAGGCGGAGGAATGGCTGTATTTCCACCAAGGTAACGCTCGCGCTACTGTGTTTTTGGGTGACTCGAAGGCTCGCACTTTCGATTTTACCGCTGGTGACACTGCCGTTTTCCCTGATAATAGTGGTGAGTAAACATTCCTGAGATAAATAATTATGTGAAACTGAGATTTAAAACCAGGTCATTACATTGAGAATGTCTCTGAGACTGAGAAGCTGGTATGGATCGAGATTTACAAGAGTGATCGCGTGGCGGATATTTCGTTGGCACAATGGCTTGCTCTTACTCCTGCCGATGTCGTGGCTACTACATTGAGGGTCGACATCGAAATCGTCAAGCAGATCAAGAAGGAGAAACAGGTTTTGGTCAAAGGCAAATAGTCTGAGCCTTCCTGCTTTGAGTATCTGTCAATCAGGTGGGCATTGGGAAGAAAGTGTAGCAACGCCCTCTTTTTCGCTTCCGGATATAGTTTAGTATAGATGACTCGGTGTCGAGACACTGTATTGATTAATATTTGCAATTTAATCACTTAATTACTACCCAATTGAAGCAAAACCTAGGCGTAACTTTCACTATTAATTGGCTAAACTCCACACGTCCCTACCCTATGCCATTGGTCCTATAGTGAACTGTTCTTGTGCACTTACCTGATATGGGTGCCATCGCTTTTGTGAGGATACTAAGATCGAAATCTATGTTTAATCTGTTGGTTGAGACTCTTAACCCAAAACCCGCCAAGAAATGGGTCGGATCAAAACCCATGGGTTGGACCCACGGGTTTTGGCGAGGTCTAGAGCCACCTTTGACTCTTGTTGATGTTTGTGCTACTTGCGTATTGGTTATAGGTTCTAGTTTTCAGGCATCGGGATGACACACTTTGGCAATATCTAGAGCAGCCAGCACGCTGCCCAGTTGTGCCCAAACGCTAGTCTTGGGTAAGACCTTGCGAATCCCTTCTGTCCGAAACTCGCTAGTTCTGTCGAAAGAAAGCCAAGCCACTGCAGGTTTATGTGTCGCAAACAACCGCATCCAGGCTTTGAGGGGTGATCCGAAAGCCATTACCCCCATTTCGATCGGCAGTTGCTCCCAGGCTGGAGAGAGATGACATGAGATGCTGAAGGCCTCTTCGGGCGAGCCCCAGTTTGCGAGATTGTGCGCGCCTGTCATTCATGAAACCAATTTGGCCCAAGCCCTCGGTGCGAGTAACGGCCATTGCAAGTTCATTGGTGGCTTTACCGCTCATGGGTGCGTTGACAATGACAGGAGTCTGGTCCCATGGGGGGGCGAGTCTTTAGTGTATTGAGTGTCATTCTGCATAAGCTTTGAAAACTAGAGTTGTTGATTTCTGGAGGAAATGCAATAGTGGGTCATGATAAGCTTATAAACGCCAATTGTTCAAAGGCCGAGTAGTACATGTGAGGGTTTGCTCAGCCTTCTATCCTGGATAATTTCCGGTGTTTGTACAGAATTTCGGTCGATTGCTATGTCGTACAACTAGTTGTTCTATTCGCTGACTAACAACGATAGTAACCCCAGAGGACTGGGTTGTCCAGATCCCGATCCTAACTCGTATCTTATCTCAAGTGGGCTCAACCCTATGGAAGGTCGCCCTTGTTGAGAAATCAACTTTGTTCTACCACTGAGGGCACCGGTGAAAGGTTCTCATAACTATATACGTCTAGTCACTATCTTTGTGGACAGCTGTATATTGCCTTCTGATTGAAATCAGACCTCTTGTCGAAAGGTATAAAGTATCTCTCCACTCAGGGGTAATTCCAGATACCATCTTTTTGTGTCTCTTATTTCGACTACTCGACGACCGTCTCTATATCGCCCGTGTAGACCTTCCATAAGATTGATGATCATCTTTCATCTTTTAGATTTAGCAATGCCTTGTCAAGCAACAGCTGTGCTTCTAAGTCCCAGGTCAGGCAAGCCTCCTGATTCAGATGTTTCACCAGAGTAGGTCCAGAGTACTTATTGGCTGATACAGCAATAAAATCTGTCGCATGTGCTCTGTGCTCGAGTCAGTCTTGAAAGTCGGGGCTGGCTCGTGGGAACAAGTGCATCTAGGTCGACTTTTGCTTTTGCTGCAGACTTAGCTTTCATTTAAATGATCTAGCGAAACTCAAAGGTGCTTATGTTTTTCTGCTATTTTTCTTCTGGGCCTGCTTTTCCCAGCACTTAATCCGTCTATCAACTCTCCGTCTGACGCCCACTCAGTTATCTCGAGTCAACCCAATATCACACCCATGATTTATCACACCCTTTGCGAGACAGGTTCTAGCATTTGAAGAACACTCGATTGCACCTGGATATTTTGAGGGTTTACCTTACAAAACTTTGATGAACATCATGGCACATAAGCTAAACAGTTAAAAAGCGCCTTCTGAAGCTGGTGCGGGCGCTTGTAACTCGAAACTGAACACGTTACAATTTTGCCGGTGCAGTTGGTTGTGACCCTATCTCCTTCCACTTTTGCTTTTGCTCCTATTGTGGGTCTAAGCTCGTCACTTCAAACAGGAGCAGCTTTTTCTACAATAAGCTTGCTCATAAATAGTGATACTATTGATCCATTTAACAGCAAGGCCTGTTGACAGACTTTATTTTATACGTCACTGTCTCTGTGAATAAAGGTTAATATACATACATGTTTTTGGGCTAATATAACATTTGTCCCTTGATTATCTCGCACTTCCTGTTGTGTATTGAAGTTAGTTACATACCTGGTTTTGAATTTTGCCATGAAGTTTATATTCAAAGGTCTATCTGATGGGTTGAATGCTGTAAAATAGACCTATTGACTTCTATCAAGACCATTTCCACGACAGATAGAAAGGGAAAGCTAGGCTGGGGGTCCACTTGTTCGTTGACCCCCGTAAGGTACCGACATTAGAAGACTTTGGCAAATCTTTTTGAGAATATCCAGTATGGTACGTGCTGTCTTACAGTAATCGGCCCAGACCTCGACAACCTGGATAGCCTGCTGAATCAAATCGTAGAAGTCCGGCACAAATTCTTCGATAGATGGAGTGCATTTCGATACCGAGAGTGTTAAGATAGCGGCAAACAGTCTGAATGAATAGATCGCGTCAGCATTTACAAGCTTCCTGTTAGCTTCTTTGATTTCGTATTTAACTTACGCTTGTATGCCGAGCCAAGCGCCAGGCGTCCTTTTCTTAAGGAAGGACGAGGTCATGTGAACAAATTGTCGACAAGCCTCAATGCAATGTTTGCAGTTGGCAACAACATAATCCGGTAAATGTTGATATTCTGTGGATGCCGCATATATTACACATGGGCGACATATAATGTGTTTTGCGGCATAGTAGAGTGCACAAATGACCGTGTCGAGTGGGTCGTGGAAGAAAGAGCTATGGAGATCCGGTCTAACAAGTTCTGGAATGGAGCCAAACCATACTTCTAATTGGCGAGTCAACTCTATCAAAACTATTTCGGAGGGCGCCACTGAAATACATAGAAATTCAGAGGCCTGGTGAGGTGTTGGGGCCGGAAAACTAGCGTTAAAGACCCTATGTTCGTTCGTTGAATAGATCGCAGCATGCACTCGATTGAGGAGTCTCCGAACAGAGCACCTTGCAAGGAACACGTAACTGATCTTGTGGTTTGGCTCAGTGAATGATGGGAAAGGCAATCTATCTATAAATACTTCAATGCCACTACGTGGTAAATGAAATTCTGCAAGGTCATCACTGCTCATTCGTCAGAAGGAAGCCAGGCGATGGCATACACCAAGACTAACCATTCGAGGATGTAGCAGCCCCAGGCAAGCCTAAGGAGAATAGCACGGTCTTCTGATGGAGTGGCGTCAAGATGTACTAATCTATATGCAATCAGCAAAGGGGGAGGAAATAATGGAAGATTCCAACTTACCGAGAGAACATGATTTGTACACTTGTAGACGCCATATGTATGAACTTCCAGGCTTGCAACGGACGTCCTAAATATCGAAGATAAATGGACGCGTAAAACAGCGCCAGGGGTAAACAAAGATCAATCGAAAATGACGACACCCATGCAGATATAAGGTGATTATATGCAGGGAGAAAATACTCCATTCCATTCAAGTCTATTTCAGACTCAATGTCGAGCCACCCATCTGAATGCGAGGAGATTTTACCTAAAGCAAATACGACCAGACACAGAAGCATCGAGGCATTACTCGTTTGTGGCGTGACCAGAAATGCCCCGTAGACCTTGAGAAAATACTGATGTTTGATAATCGGAAAGTAAGGATGAACACGCATAAAAAAATGATCAACAAATTGGTAAGTAATTTGAGGTTGCGGCTGGGATCCCCAGTGATTTTGCTGTGGGCCCTTCATCGAGAGGGCGAGCTCCTGTTCAGATTCCAACTGCATGAACAGGTCTTGCTGGTACTCCCCTATCAGGCTTTTCACTCTACTAAGGCCAAATAGACTTGTTGTTGGAGTGTTGTGCCCTAGAGGGATAATCAGGGGTTCCTCATCGTTATATGAGACTCTTCGCGGCGTGGAACTTGTCGAAGCAGTATGAACACGGGCGTGATCTGATGGATTGAACGAATGTGGTGCATGCAATGGGAGCGAAGAGGCAACACAACAATTGGTTGAGTATCCCGTCTGAGTGTAAATCGGTGCGATTCGTGCTGATAACTCAGTGATCGTGTCTTTCTGCTGGCCCAGGAGAGTCTCCAATTGACTCAGTCGATCAAGTATCTCAGTTGGGGTATCCCGAGGCCTATCGAAGGGTTCAGCGTTACGCTGGAGATGGTCCTGCGCATGGAATTGCGTAGCTATACCTCTCAGGCTCTTGATACTCACAATCAGCACCATTTTCGATGCAGTGTTGACATACTGGCTTTTGGCCGTCACATCTGCGCTTCCTGGTTTCGATTATTAGCGGAGAGACGTACTCCTCGTTTGATGTTGGCTTACCGCTGGCGACAAAAATTACATGCAATTGCTGCACGTTTCGGTAGATATCTTACCCGTTTGCGAATGTCGAGTGTTCTCATTACTGGCAACAAAGCGTGATGGAGCAGCAGCTGGGGAAAATGGTGTGTGTGTGGGGGGGGTTGGGCGACTTACCATTAGCAAAAGTCCTGTTACCTATCGTCTGTAACCCCGCGTAGAGACTGTGGGGTCTTGATCGATTCCGGAGGATACAGTGGGCTTATTACCGTGGTCGACCAATAAGATTCTGAAGGACTGGCTAATGCGATGAATCAAATGGCGGGTTTTATTTGACCTGGTTTGTGCGTGCTGAATCGGCACATGATGCCGAAATAAGTCACGGCGGGTAGCCCTCAAGACTGTTTCGCTCTAGGGTTAAGGCAGCCGACGTTGGCTTTAGTATAATTATTAATAATTATATCTGTATAGAAAGTATATTTGAGGCTTAGGTCCATGTTTGGTAAAGATTGAAATCTTATTTTTACCGACAGTCATAGGAGAGGTAGTAGAATCGTATTTAGGAAGCAGTAGATTGGCTATTTGTATACATAACATAGGTAGGCCGGGAACTTGCTCTATACTTATATAAGGATAAAATCTACTTTAGATATAGTTGATTTACAATTCTTTATATGTATATACATCAGGCTTAGAAAGATATTCCCTTAAACAATCTGCTAAAGTAGAACAGTAGAACGAGGCATATTATAGACTTCAGCAATATTCGACAGGCTGCTAATTTAATTATGTTTAATAGCTGATATAGCTAATAGGATCCTGCCTTCCCGCTCCACCAAGAACTATGATAGTTTAAGCATTTTTGGCTGTATGGCTGGTGGCTGAATAGTCTGAAAAATTGAGGCACGTAGAAAACGCGTAGGGTGGCCGGGTAGCTCGGGAAAGGCGTTAAGAGGTAGGTCTTTTTGAACACAGGTCCAGATATTTAAAAAGGTTTCTAGTCAATTCCAATGGTTCGCTATTACTCGAGACATGTCAAATTTACGCTATAATTCTCTGCTGACCTTTCCATCTGGTTACTTTGAAGAGTCTTGCAGCTTGTCTCCGAGCATGTGGCTTGTGAACTGCTTGTTTTGTGATTTTCCTTCTCTGCTTCAATGACCCCAAGGCCAGTCCTTTTCACTCTCAGTCCCGGAGCGTAGTGCGAGATTCATCTCGCAGGTATCGCTTTACGCAGCAATCAATCATCATTCCACACAGGATATGCACGCAAGGTAGACGCTTTGGTAAACATGGCTGTCTTCAGGCTGGAATCAAAGTAAAAAAAGTCGAACTTCCATTCTTATTGATCTTTCATATCGATGATGCTCGGAAATAGTTCGTTGAAAGGTTGCAGGGATTTTCCATCAGATAGACTGTAGTACTCCTTAGAGTCAGTCCGTAGTATGGCCTTGGTAACAAGCCACATTTCATTCGCACAGGCCATAAAACCAGCTAGTTCCATTTCTTCTTTATTGCCAGTTCGGGAGGTCAAGCTGTCCCATAGTATCTTCCATCTGGACAACGCCCGATGCAAAGGGGCTAAATTTGGCTGGTTCATCCAACTTGTAGAGATCGAGAACATTACTAGATGTAGCCCTGAGCAAGGATTAGCTTGTAGCTGAATATTGGGAAGAGGTTCTCTTGGTAAGATCACGAACCAGATATGACAGTAAAGAGTCCAAATACCCCAATGCGGCTGAAAACTGGATTACTAGGTCCATCCCAAGCACCGTCCATGAGGAGATCTATAACTTCAATAAGAGAAGGCGAATGCGGGGCTTTTACCAATGATGACGGGTGACCTTGAGAGAACGTCAGTTCTTTACAAGGAAGATCTCCGATTGACTCTAGTATCGCGAGCATGGGAGGAATTCGAAAAGAAGTCACAAATTCGCAGTCCAACAGCAAGATAAAGTGAGCAGTCCTACACCAAAAGATTAGCTACAATGAACACACTAGGCTGAATTTGGGGGTAACATCTATTCACCTCAACCGTGACTCCAACTGGGCATCCCAGATCCAGCCTTCTGAAGTAGTGGAGCCACGATCGTGCCTCGAGCTGAATAGTGAGATTGATCGCGCAGCATATACCAGCAGTGGAAGTCGCTGGTATCTCACTCTTCGACGAATATTAGGATCGTTGCGCCCAATTTGTAGCTGTAGTAGAATGACCACTGCCTTCAGAACATCATAATTCTCCGGCATCTGCAACTCAGAGATCGCAGTATGTTTGATTTCTGTGTTAAAGATGGGCAAGCTGAACATATAAGCCTCCGCCATGTCGATGCAATCTACTGCTAGAGAACACGTATCTCTCGGATAGGAGTGTAATGAACCTCCTAGAAATATGGCCAGAAGGAGAGGCAGCGTAGCAGATTCAGCTTGGAAGGTTGGAATATGAATAATTGGGCAATGTCTGTGATGACGTTGCACGTAGAGACGTTCAAAAAGGCGTACATTTGCCGCCGAAAATAGGTCTTGGTCAACAGCGTTTCGCAAATGGGCTTGTGACTTAGTGCATGTGGCAAAGGGTTTTAAATTCTGCACCAGCTCGTGAATGCGCAGTGAAAGGTTGTCGCTTTGTTGGTGATTGGTTGGCACACTATCGGCTCTGTGGTTTATCACATAGTTGTCCGACTCGATGCTGCTGCTCCACATGAAATGAGGTTCGTCCAAGCTGGGTTCTTCCAAAAAGCCCTCTGTGGCCTTCAACTGCTCACTAGCTGTCTCGCCTAAATGGGAGGACGGAGTGGAGGAATGATCAACCTTGGGCCGTCCAGCTTCAAGTGCTGGGATCAGATCCAGAACTGTGTTGTTGTCATCATAATATCTTAGCAAAAATGGTATACGAGCTTTCAGCAACCTGTCCGGAGAATTCCTGGATGGTGGCGACGGATTCTCTTTCGGTTTGGTGGCCTCTTGCTGGAAGGGAAACAGAAGTCGGCTGTAACCACACTTGATAGCATTGCTTTTGCAATTCCCACATGGCGATTCTCCATCGCAGGAGGTCTTTTTGTCAGCACACTGATCACATGATTTCCGCGGTTTTCCCTTTCGCTGTGTTGGTGGGAGTGGCCGACCACGTCTCTTCGCGCATACCTTGGCATGACGTCGGGCAGTATCTCTACGAGCCTGTGTCAGTAATTGCGAGTCCAAAAGAACATTTGTACAGACTTTCGGGGGTACAATCGATCACAAAAGTAGCAACCATGTCTTTGACCGGGAAAGTCTAGGACCACAAGGTTAAGACCAACTTCGTTGGCGCTAAGGTCTACTAGGTAAGCTTACGCGACTGCTCATGTCGACGCAAATGCGTGCTGGTGGAGAAGCCTGTGTGACAGCTCCCGCATATGAAGAGGGCAACCATGTCAATGGTGTGTGAAGAAGGCAATCTCAAGCATGAATCCGATCAGTGAAGTTAGTCCTAAAGGAAATCGCGCAATTGCCGAAGTGGACTTTTGCCAAGTGTGGGACTTATCCAATTCGTTCAATCAGATCTCCACTGGTAGTGGGTTTTTCCCGATTGGCTGAAACAACACCAACTTTGATTTGTGACTTACTACGTATTTTTGTTCTGTCGAATGCCACCTGTAGTGGAAAATAACTTCTTTTTCTGTTTCTTTTTCTTTTTTTTTTTTTTGTTTTGTTTTTTTTGTTGAGCAAGTATAAATTGTTGCAAGCTGCTAGATGTGCTCAAGATTCTAGTCATCAGGTTGAAAAGACGAACCAGATCTTATTGAGTGAATCGTGGTTGGGATCTTGACGCTTGTCAACTAGGCCTTCTCGAGACAATGAGATAGCCCGTGTGTCGGATGAAGTCCGCCTTGGCAGTTTTCGAGATTACAGGATGTATGCTGTTTAGAACGATGTCCTTCAGCTACTGCAGGTTTTCTGAGACGGAAAGGGCCTGCACAAGGCTATAAAAGACTTGACTCCCCTGCGCCTGCTTAGCATTCTTCAAAAGTCTTACATCCCTCTCATTCTTCAAATCTATTTGTACGCCATGAGCAGCCCATTTGGACTTCGTCTTCCCACTAGCAAAGTAGCCTTTGTTACTGGCGCCAATGGCATTACCGGGGGTGCCATCGTTGACCACTTGATTAAACAGCCCCACAGTGAATGGTAGGCTTTTCCATCCCCTTCGCCTATATTATGGAGGACAAAAGTCTAATCACAGCCTTTGGAAGGTCGGATATCATCATTACTTCGAGAAGTCCCATCAAGTCAGTCTACACCGACTCGAGGATTCGGTTCGTTGCCCTCGACTTCCTACGACCAGCCGAGGAAATTGTCGAGAAGATCAAGGATCTGTGTAAAGACGTTACCCACACGTTTTTCACTTCTTACATCCATGACAATGACTTTTCGAAGCTTCACGTACAGAATGGCCCTCTTTTTCGCTGCTTCCTGGAAGCAGTAGATCTAGCCTGCCCTGGGTTGGAACGCGTCGTTCTACAGACTGGCGGAAAGGTCAGGCTACTCCGTCCCAGGACCAAACAAATCTGACTGTTAGTAGCATTACGGATTCCAATACAGGGATCTCAAAACTCCCTTTCTGGAAGACATTCCTCGCTACACGGGCCCCGAGAACATTTTCTACTACGAGCAGGAAGACGATTTGTTCGCCATCCAGAAGCGCCGTAGCACTTGGGCATACAATATCATCCGTCCCATGGGCATCATTGGCTTCAGCTGGCAATGTAAGCAAACTCACTTGGACTGTTCTTCCTCCAGACACTAGTTAACAGGTACCTTGCAGATCTCGGCATCAACGAAACACTCCCGATAGCCCAGTATTTCCTCATCTGTCGTGAGCTTGGAGAGGTTCCCAGATGGCCAGGGAACCTGCACAGCTGGTATAGAGTCGAGAACCAGTCTTTCGCCCCTGGGATTGCCGACCTTACCATCTGGGCAGCGACCCAGGACAAGTGTAAGGACGAGGCTTTCAACCACGTTAATGATGACGTGATTGTCTGGAAGTTCCTGTGGTACTTGTTGGCCGATTACTTCAAGGTCCCGATGGACAAGTTTGAACCTCCCACAGAGGAGACCAAGCCCATGGATATGGAGGAGTGGGCCAAGGATAAGAAGTCGACATGGGAGAAAATTGTGTCGAAGGATGGTGGCGATGTCAACGCATTTCAGCTGGACGCTTTTGCCTTGATGAATTGGTACATCACACCGTCGCTGCAAAAGGGGCCAGTCATTAGCAGTAGCAGCAAGGCTCGCGAGCTTGGCTGGTGCCACAAGGATGACACATACCGAGCGTGGTTGAGCACCATGCGCTCTTACGAAAATGCCGGTGTGCTTCCTATTTCCTGAGCTTTCGAAGGACTTACCTTCGTTGTCTCGTAGCCGTCTTGTGCTTTCATTCAACCCTGCTCAGCCCGAAAAGATTATTTCGGCGATAGAACTTTGAAAGTCGTACTAGACTAAGGATTTCATAGACCTACGCCAAAAAAAAAAAAAAAAAAAAAAACCGCTCCTTTAAAGCTACTTCAGCATATTTCACACATAATTGGTAATCAGGCATGATGGTGACTGCACAATCAGAGACTCAAAGTGTGTGTAAGAAGCTTCAAGGTTTCTGATAGTGGATCAGTTGTGTTACAGAATTTACAAAGAGTCCAATCAAACGCGATAACCTGGTAACTTGTGCAGTTGGGAGTCCCGTGTATGTACTGATCCTGAGTTTTTGCTTTTGTAGATTGTGCGTGCCAGCTTTATGAAGCTGAAGAGCGATGACCTGGTGAAAGACGTCTCCAAAGTTTTTAGATTGAGCACAACAAGGTCCAAACTTTTGGACCCACCACGCTTCATCGTCATTTTGAGCTCGAGCCTGGTGAGATACTGGTGGATTACGAAGGAAAGCCTATACCTTGGCATGTCGCTGGAATGAAGGCTCCTCAGCCCGCTATCTGGGCACTCTCGCCTGTTGGTGAGTTCAAGCCGACGGAGTTTTATTTAGGCCTCGCCAAAACCTTGCAGGTCCAACCCACGGGGTTGGACCCGACTCGTTCCTTGGCGGATTTTGGGTACAACAACAGGTTCTTATCGGCAGAACTCATGAGTCATGACCATAGACTTGCTCATCTTTTACCACCAATTCGGCTACTAGTCCTGAGCTGCTGAGCGCCACATGGAGATACAAGTCTTGCTCAGTTATCGTACTAAGGAATTTTGCTTATTTTGAGTTAATCTATGACTATTGGTGCGTATTTTCTTGTATGTAGATATACTTGAAAGCTGTCGGCGTGTTAGAGTAGAAGTAGGATTAAAACCATGTGCAGCTTCACGAATAGAAGTAATTTCTTACTTTTATTTAGTAGAAATGGTAGGTAGGACTCTGCCTTTCTTTTCTAGTTGATTCTCTTAAATCTTTAAGTGTTTTTGGTGGTATGCTGGTAGTTGAATTAGGTAGACTTTTTATCGAAGGTCAAAGCGCGTGGAGTGGAACGCTCGATTGCCGGTTACGCTAAAATCACTCATATTGTAGTAATGATCAACTACCCAATATGCGGGGAAAGGCGGAGCTATAAGCCGCTGGAGCTTGTAGAAACGGGGTTTAGGGTGGTCAGGGGGTGGCCTATCTTTCTGCATGAGAACACAGTAACATGATCTCAGAGAAGCGATCCCTTCCAGCAAAAGGTTACAATTGTACACTTGTACGGGGAATGGTGGAGTGATGACCCGCCAGGAACTTCTATAAGAATGGTCGCTTCTGCTCACTCTGAAACTCCCAAGCAGAGTAAGCCAGTTCGATTGTTACAACAAATCTTGTGCCATGGATCTCACAGTCTTACAGGTTTTCGCTGGTGGGCTGTTGGTGTCTTTAGCGAGCGCACAGTTTGTGCCCTCATACGACAAAAACCTCGCTCAAGCTGAATACGTTCCTTTCAGCAACCCCCAGCCGTTGGATACGCCTATCCTTGGCCAATACGGCCATTCGCCGGCTGTTCTCCCATCTCGTAAGTCAAGCGAAACAGGTGCCGCAATGGTCATTGACAACCAAGAGCTCAGCTTACCTCTCACCAGCCAATATCACTGGGACTGGTGGATGGAAGGATGGCCTGGAAAAGGCTAAGGCTTTCCTGGAGCAGTTGACCCTTGAGGAGAAGGCAGACATCGTCACTGGCACGCAGGGCCCATGTGTGGGCAATATTGCTCCAATTCCCCGGATCGGGTGGAAGGGCCTTTGTCTCCAGGATGGCCCTATGGGCATCCGCAACGCTGACTATGCCAGCGTGTTTGTCTCAGGCGTCTCTGCTGCCTCTACATGGGATCGGAAAGTTCTCTATGACAGAGGAAAGGCCATGGCCCAGGAATTCAAGGACAAGGGTGCTCATGTTCATCTCGGGTAGGTCAAACCGAGCCATTAGCTTTGTGCAGTGGATGTGTTAATAAACTGTGGACAGCCCTGTTGCCGGCCCCCTCGGTCGCAACCCTTATGCTGGCCGAAACTGGGAAGGCTTTGCTGCCGATCCTTATCTCACAGGTGTCGCTATGGAAGAGTCTATTAAGGGTATTCAAAGTGTCGGCATTCAGGCCTGTCCTAAGCACTTCATTGGCAATGAACAGGAGAAACAGCGTCAGCCTAGCATCCCTCAAAACTTAACATACGACACCCAGGTTGATCAGGAATCTGTCTCATCAAACATTGAAGACAGAACGATTCACGAGCTTTACCTGTGGCCCTTCGTGAATGCTATCCGTGCAGGAGCCACTACTGTCATGTGCTCGTACAACCGACTCAATGGATCTTATGCGTGCCAGAACTCTAAAGCTCTGATTGGCCTTCTCAAGGGCGAGCTTGGCTTCCAGGGTTATGTTCAATCCGATTGGGGTGCCACTCACTCGGGATTAGCCTCTATTGAAAGCGGCTTGGATATGAACCTACCTGGAGGGTTCAGCATGTTCGGAGACCGATGGTCTGGCACCTTCTTTGGTGGTAATATTACGGTTGCTGTCCGAAACGGCACTCTGCCTGTCGAACGTTTGAACGACATGGTGCTTCGAGTTATGACGCCATACTTTGCTCTCGGTCAAGATAAGAACTATCCAACCGTGGATAGATCCAGTGTTGATCTGAATAATTTCACCCCTCCAGACACTTGGGTTCGAAACTTCACCATCTCGGGGGCCTCACACCGGGATGTCCGCAGGGACCATGCTAAACTCATCCGTCAGCACGGTGCCGACTCTACCATCCTGCTAAAGAATGAGCGAAATGCTCTCCCATTGGAAGCTCCCAAGCGGATTTTTGTATTTGGTAACGACGCCGGGGAAGTAACCCATGGTCCCTACAACTCAGCAAACTTTGAGTTTGGCACTCTTGCTGCTGCTGGTGGTTCAGGAACCGGCCGTTTTACTACCCTGTCCACTCCACTCCAGGCTATTCAGTCTCGTGTGGCCAAGGATGATGGTATCGTCCGATTCTGGCTGAACAACACCCTGATCATCGGAGATAGCGCTGGTTCTGACTCGCAAATTTGGGTCTATGAGCATCCTGACGTCTGCTTGGTCTTCCTCAAGAACTGGCATGAGGAGCTGGTTGAGCGGCCCTCTCTCAATCTAGACTGGAGAGCAAATGAACTCGTTGAGAAGGTTGCTTCAAATTGCAACAACACAGTTGTTGTGACACATAGCGGCGGCGTCAATGTTCTGCCTTGGGCCGACCACCCCAATGTGACCGCTATCCTGGCCGCCCACTATCCTGGCCAGGAAACAGGGAATGCTATCGCCGATGTCCTGTATGGAACGGTTAACCCCTCAGCCAAGCTTCCCTATACTATAGCTTATAGGCAGAGCGACTATACTGCTCTGCCAACAACCTCAGTCAATACCACTGGTCCTGACGACTGGCAGTCTTACTTCGATGAAAAGCTTGAGATCGATTATCGCTACTTCGATGCGCACAACATCTCCGTACGATATGAATTTGGCTTCGGTCTCTCTTATAGCACGTTCCATCTCTCCGGCACCAAGAGCGTGCGTCTTGCTGCGGAAGGTATCACTGCGCGGCCGAAAAAGCAGAAGATAGCACCCGGTGGTAATCCGGCGCTTTTTGAGCCACTCTACGAGGTCTCCTCCACCGTCACAAACTCAGGAGAGAGATACGGCGGGACAGTGGCCCAGCTATATGTCACTTTCCCTAATAACACTCCCAAGGGTACCCCGCCCAAGCAACTTCGAGGGTTTCAAAAAGTCTTCCTAGAGAAGGGTGAATTCAAAACTGCGACCTTCGAGCTGATGAGACGTGACCTTAGCTACTGGGATGTGGGGGCTCAAGAATGGGTTATACCACAGGGTGAATTCACTCTGAGCGTCGGCTTCAGCAGCCGAGATCTCAGGGAACTGATCAAGATTACTCCTTTGTCAGCCTCAAATTGAGGAGATGGAAAATCTTGGGAAGACGAATATACGAACCCGACTTGTAAATTAAAAGTCCTAATAGTCAACTATGAGAAAAGCGCCAATGGTCACCATGTTATTCTTCGATAAGAATCAAATCTTACGTGATTTAAATCTAATAGGTATTTATTTGCTTATGGCCGAACATTCGCGATGCGCCTCCGAGGAAGTCTGTAACACACGTCTCCTGTCACCTCAGAATAGGGTGAATTGCACCCCATTCCGGTGCAATGCCGCACTAGCTTCTATAGTACCTAGCAGCAAGTCTGAGTAATGATAGCAGGCCTATAAGCATTCGGAAGCTTGTCGTCAGGCATTCATTTTATTACAACCTGCTTGAATAAAAAGGATCAAATTCAGTAGGATATCAAGGCCCGGTCCGTTCACAAGCACGTTAAATGGCCAAAGCGGCAAAGCATCACAACCCTGACCCTGCTCATACCACTCACATATCCCAGGATCTCACCCTCAGTCCTCCCAAATAGCTACATGCTGAATCTCTACCCCTTCTAAGATTTCCTTTATCTGACTAAATTCCTCAAACCCATCGCATTCTGCGAATCGAAAATGATCCTGCACTTCCGCCCAACCACTGAAGAGCACGAACTCCTCTTTTTCCTCACCATCATCCGTTTTATCCTTGGGTTCCACCCGAACCCCGCCCTTCAATCCCCTCGGAGCAATATACACTTGCAAGTGTCTTTTCGTCTCTTCAAACTTGTTCAAGAACGCATCCTTCTGACCGGTCTTTAGAAAGTAACGCCCGATGGCAATCACAGGGGCATCAACTATTGGCACTTCTCCTGATCTTCCGGCAGGTAATCTGAGCATTCCGAGCTCAGCAGGATCGATTCCGATATGAACCATGTACACAAGATCCAACTTCTCCTTTAGAGAGGCCAGTAAGGATTGGTTTGTAGAGCTGGGGATCCAGTCGTCCATGTGAGCCGAAACTGATCTCCAGCCTCCGAGGAGGTAGATGTATGATGGGTTTTCGATCTGGGTGAACAGGTAGGTTGGGTACTTGGAGTAAGAGGCTTGGGCCTTTGCCACTGATGATAATTCCCTTCGGATGGTTGCTCGGTCAGTAGATGACTTCAAGTGGAAGAGCGCTAGCTCCGTGACTGGGCTTGGAGATTCGGTGGAGGTCATATTTGTTATGGAGTTGAGTCTGGTTGTTTCCAGTGAAATCGTGGGTTTGGGACGTGCTGTTGAAGAAGATGTCATGTAGTCACCAAGCTTGTGTCAGGTTTATATGGGATGCTTCTTGATTAGGCGGATTGGTGGAAACATTTATATAGTGTAGGCTTCCGTGTCCACGTCACCTCTGCGGCCTAGTTTGAGGGAAGTGTGTCCACTTGGTCTTTGGGGTTAATTTAACCAATGCAGTGAGGTATTAGCTACATATATTGTTAGTAATGTAAATACTAAACGGCATATGCCTACAATGACAACCTGAACATTCGATATATATATTCAGAAGGTTGGATCGCTGAATGGTTTGGCAACCCACCCACCCGGAATGACGACTTAGTTTTCCCCCAACATAAGGTCGTAGGTCTAAATCCCACTCATATTACCAGTCATACCTAAACTATAAGGAAGTTCAAAAACTAGATCAACATGTATTCACTTGGACAAGAAGGGAACCTACCTTGAATACCTCATAAGTAGGGGTACTAATTAGTGACGCTAACTACGTGAAGAGAAAATAATAATTATATATAGAAAACCATCTTGTGGCTAGATAGTATAATTAATAGATATATATAACTTGAGAAACACCTGATTAGTCTGGAGGGTTTTCGTCCGGAGCAGCCTTTAAAGGTTCTCGCAGTTTCCCCTCCCAACCCTCCAGGGATAGCTCACATGGCTAGATAGCCCAGAGATGGCTAGCAATATTATTAATGGTGTTGTATATTCAGAGGGGGAGTGTAGAGGAGTCCTCTCAAGAAACCGATGTCTAACTCTCTGCTGGTTGCTTGGACTACAATCTGAAGACATTAGCGTACTCAGAAATTATTGAAGGAGGACTTCAGAGGTGAGCATGGCAGTAGCTCTCTGACAGTATCCCCTTTGGATCCATAGTAGTCTCTTTGGTTCTTTGAGATTCTCTTCATTGCTTCCTAGATCCGTAAGACGCCCTGCTCCACCGGACCATCACTGTTGGCCAGCAGGATTTCCACACTGGAGTGTAATACACTAACAGGATGTCCTGCAGGTGTCGTGTCCATTCCGTCACCTGCCTCGACAATCAGGCAAGCCTGTGTCTCATTGGGTGCCTTCCATACAGCCTCGATCCGTTGTTCACGGTAAGTATTACTACCACGGTCGTGGTGCGATCAGCCATGGACCTTGCGCCAGTGCCATCACATAATCTCAATTGACAGTCCAATATATCGGCATCCGAGGGTAATCGCGAACATCAATCTATCGGGGTATGTGGGCAATCCGGGCACTGGCTCATCGATCTGGTGGCGGATAATAGGCTCCTGGGCATTTCGGGCAATTCTGTCCTATTGCTGAATTTTTTCCTGGATTGAATGGTCTCCGCGTGTGGCTTCCGGTGGACACAGTTCTTCAAATCGTGTATGTACAATCTCATTCGGCCAAACACTGTGTTGGCAGATGTTGCAAATAACCGCAGGCAAGCCGTCAATCTTCTAGAATATTGGGTACTCCATGAGCGGCATATCAAGAGACAAACGGATGAAAGGATAGATATGTGGGTGGGATGGGTACTCACGGGTATTTATAGCGACGTACGGAGTACGAATGGGGAAATGGGGTTAAGCTGAGGAGAGATAAGGTGGAGATGGCTATTCATTCGGCGGCTTCGAACAGGGGCAACGTTCACCGCCTTCCCTTTTTGTTATCAGCCAGACATGTCACGTGGGATCGCGTAGAGATGCGGTCATTCACTCCTTGCCATTTAAGCTCGCTGTACGTCTTGCCAAGAAATGTGCTTTTGCTTACCCTCTATACGAGCGTCGTCTACTTTCGTACAACAGTGGAGTCATGAAAAGTATTTGACAACAGGGTTATTATCCTTTTATCAACGATGCCGCACGCGACCTTTCAGCATTAGCTCCCCGATCAGCAGGCAGAGGCTTGCCAATTTGTCTTCCAGGGCCAGCAATTGAAGCTCACCACGACTGGTGAAATGACTGAGTTACTTCCTATGCCCTCTGGCAGTGAAGTTATTATCCAAGTCTTTAGGCGTAACCCTTCTCTGTGTAATGTCTGGACGCTGATGGTCAAGTCGAATTTTTTTTTCTCCTTACTAAACAATATTACTGGTGTATCAAGGGCAGTATGTCTATATTATAATAATAAGGATTAGATAGCCTTAGTATCTATTATAGGACCAGAACGGAAGTCCTTATATAACAAACCAATAATAGAGCATACCGTCTTTTCGAAATTCACGTAGAGCAAATCGCATTTTATTTCCAATCAACCAACTAGGCCACGGAAGGGCGAGTTTTTGATTGTCGGGTTTTTTCGCAACACGAGGTTCAATAGGCTATTCGGGAAAAACGGCCAACGAGTCGAGGCACTGTCTCCCGTATCCATATCGTTTTGAGACCGTGGAATGACAAAAGCTAAGGTTTAATTATCCAATACCCCCCGTATTTATCGTTCCAGACCAAGCATCCACTGGCAAATGAACATCCTCCGTCTCTGGTATCACTCTCATGACCTTCTATGTCACCACCCAAGTTACGGATATCCATAGGCTATTCTTGAAAGCCACCAAATATATAAATACGAGACCATGACACGGAGATATCCAAACCTTCAAATAATATCTCAGAATCTTCAATATACAAAGCAATTTCGCTATCGAATAAACCCAATCCCGAAAGAACCCCACTCAAAATGTCCACCACAACCCTCCCCAAAACAATGCGTGCTCTCCTTCAACCCAACACCCAAGAAAGCCGCCTCATCCAAACCACACTCGACATCCCAACCCCAGACCCCAACGCAAACGAGCACCTTATTCGCGTCCACTGCGTCTCCCCCTGCGCAAATGAACTTAACTGGCTAAAATACTTCCCCCCGCCTAAGCCTCGGACCCAAATCCCCTGCTACGACATCGCCGGCACAGTCGTCAAATCGCCCGACAATTCCCCTTTTTCTGTCGGAGATGAGGTCTACGCTCGAACAAACTATCTCCGACCCGGTTGTGCCAGCGACTACACTATCGCTGTGACCGATGAACTGGCGCATCGGCCGAAGAAACTAAGCTGGGTGGAGTCGACTGCCATACCACTCTCTGCGCAAACGGCTTGGCAGGCTTTATTCGTTCAGAGCGGAATTGGAGATTTTGGAAGTGAGGGGTGGAAGGGGAAGAGGGTTCTTGTTACGGCTGCTTCTGGGGGAGTGGGGATCTGGGTTACTCAGATCGCAAGACTGATCGGTGCGACGGTTATTGGGACGTGTGGATCGAGGAATGTGGACCTTGTGAAGGGGTTGGGTGCTAGTGAGGTTATCGATTATCGCAAGACAGATTTGCGGAAGTGGGCACAGGAGCCGGAGAACCAGGTTGATGTGGTTGTTGATTGTGTTGGGGGAAATTCGTTGTCCGATGCATGGTGGTGTGTGAAGGATGGAGGTGTTTTGGTTAGCATCTTCCAGCCTCCGGAGCAGGTTCGACCGGAGGTTTTGGAGAAGAGTGTAAAGAGTTTGTTCTTTATAATGGACCCAAAGAGAGAGCATCTTGAGGCTATTACGCAGCTTGTTGAGATGGGGAAGTGTCGGCCTGTTGTGGATAGTATTTGGCCCTTGGAGCTTTTCGAGGAGGCTTTTGCGAGGTTGGATGGGGGACATGCTAGGGGGAAGATCATTTTGGATTTGTCTCTCAATCAGTGAGTTTGGTTTTATGCCCGAGTGTGATCCGGTTGAGACGAATGGCGAAATTTATGTAGCAGGAATTGTTATGTCTGTGGGGCTTAATTTGATATACATAATGGAGTTGGATATCTTACCGTAACCGTGCCGGATGATGCTTTTTTTTTCAATTAGGGAACATGCTGATAGAATGGATATACAAACCCGTGGAAAATTCTAGGTTCCTGGGATGACTTGCTTTCATTGCTGGGGATGTTGGACGGCCAATTTAATGTTCTTTGCTAGGGTCACAGGCCAGATAGTTTCCTGTGTCTGTAAATGGTGGTATAAGGATATTCCACCCTCTTATCAAACCATTCGAAAGGCCTTATATGTCACGGAGAACCAAGTAGAGTGCTCAGGCAAACTATGGTTTATACTAGTATGACAAGGAGAGGCGATAAGATAAGAATGCCAGGCTTTCAATAAGGCCAAGAATTTCATGAATTTCAAATATGACATTTACGAATTCAGACTGAGATGTGAATCAACGTCATTCAATATTGACATTGCCAGCGAAATTCATCATATGGCCACTCCCTACTAACAAAATATCCAAGAAAACGGCAAGTAGATGGGTCATGAAGCGTGATTGAAATGTCAAGGGTTTGAAATTCAAAATGTCAAATGCCAAGAATTTCATTATTTTCCAAAATGAATTAACTATGTATCACATGCAGTAATGACTAAGCAAATGCATAAGGAATCAATCGCACATTGGCTCAGTGATTGTGATCTTCAACTGTCATTCAGCTACTAGCAAAGAGGAGTCACATTGCTACAATTGGGTGACAAGATTACTTTACATCTGTCTAACCTCCATCGTTGAGGATTAATCAGCCAACTGTCCAATTCTGTGCACTGTGACTGTGACGACATCATAAATCGCATCGCCATTGCTTCGTAAATACCCCCCCGCATACAATGTCCACCGACCCTTTTCCCTCCATTTTGGTGACCCCAGAAGAATTTCACAGTGTCAGGAGGCCAACGACCCGTCGCATCATTCCGGTAGCGGCAGGGCGTGGGGCACTGCGCTCATCTTACGAAAAACAGCATATACCAGGCTCAGTGTAGGTCAAGTTCTTACCCCACATACAATACCATGTCCTAAGAAGGGAATAGGTTCTTCGATATGGATGTCATAGCAGACACCACATCACCATACCCCCAAATGCTCCCCACGGTGAATCACTTTGCTCACTGCATGGGGGAAATGGGAGTCCAACCGGATGACATCCTGGTCGTTTACGACGCAGTCGAGATAGGCATGTACAGCGCACCGCGCGTTGCATGGGCCTGTCGCCTCTTTGGACATGATTCGGTACATGTCTTGAATAATTTCCGTCTGTATACGGAGCGAGGATATCCTGTTGAAGAAGGAAGGATGTGGTCGCTTCCACAAACTGTTTACCCTGTTCACGAGCCAGGTGCAAACCAAGTTATCGCATTTGAGGAATTGCGGAACATAATCTTGCACGAACGAAATAATTACCATATCATAGATGCCAGAATCCCAGGTCGCTTTTCAGGCACGCAGGAAGAAGCTGATCCCACACTGCGATCGGGACATATGCCTTCTGCGATCAATATCCCGTTGGCAGCGATGTTGGATGCGGAGTCGAAGGCTTTTCTGCCATTGTCAGAATTGAAGGGGCTCTTTGAGAAAGCAGGTATTGATGCCAATACACCGGTTATCTTGACTTGCAATTCTGGAGTAACTGCCGCCGCATTGGACTTATCATTGCAGGTGACCGGTTACGATATGGAACGGAGGGTGTATGATGGGAGCTGGATGGAATGGACGAGGAGGGCGGAAAGCGACTTGGTATTCAGGGATTGAATTCTACTTTACTTGCACATATTTGTTCAAACATTCTTGCCGTCTGCTCTACTTATAATCCGAGAGCAACTGAAGCAAATACATAGTCTAGATGGTGCCCCGTACTCAAATGACAAAGCCCTTTTAGCCATTTAACTATCCCGATAAACACTACTTAAGCATCAGCTGTACCCTCTGAGGCCAACAAAGCCAACAATAATATGTTGCGCCTCCTTTGTGTCATGAGAAGGTTATGATTCACTCCAAGATGAGGCATTGCGCAGAATTAATTATTTACTTGCTTAGTGCGGCAAATGGCACTGGTCCAGTAGTTCGGAAGGTGTGAAAGAGACATGAGCTCTTGATAATAGATTGTAACCCTTGAACTGATCCTTATTATATAGCGCAGGAGAAAAGCAGATAGTAAACCTGCGGTCTTCCCCCTCTTAGCAAAAGGTACATGTACTTACTGCTCCACATCCATGCAAGCTACACAAACCTTGCAGAAAAGTCGTTCTTTTTTCTTTGAAACAATGATCGAATTCTTTTCATCAGACCGATTAGATGCTCTGGACAAAATCCCAACAACTTGAGCAGTGATATCCCCTTTACCTCACAACCTTGGCTTTACCGTGGTGCTTCCTGTCTTTTCCAATGGCATGTCGCGGCGTGTGGAACCTGTGTGTTAATGGTCTGTGAGATACATTAGATGACTCTATAACTCTTTACGCTAACGACTACGCTTAGGAAAATGGTATCGCTACGGTGATTCGGCTTCGCCAATTTCTCCTCCTGGGAATATATCCACGCTGCGAAAGCTCAACCAGTTGCTTGACAACCCGGACATCAAAGGATGGAAGAAGGTTACATCACCCAGCCTTGACCTTTCCAACATGGACTTCATTTACACTCTCGATACGGACGCTGGAACTTTCAAAATCTCCCTCGGGGGGCGTTTTACCAGACCCCCGTTGGCTGTGCTGACGGACGTATATCTCAAGCCCGCTACTCTTCGTGAGGGCCATGATATGGATCTCCGCTATACTGTACTGGGGTATTCTCACTTTGCCCCCCAAAAGTATACCACAGTCGACGAGCTCGATTTGCAGCGACTCAATCTAAAAAGATTACACTTGAAGTTTGGTATTCCGACTGCCATGAATGAGCTACAGGAGCGGATCTTTGCGGACTTTTTCTTTAGATGGGATGAGTACCTTGACCCGCCTGATTGGGGATACATGAATCGTGACTTCAGGTCGCTTTCTATGTCCCTCTTGCGTTTCGCAGCCTGGGACTTTGAAGTCACATCTGGACCTAGACCCGCTATGGGTTCCGCAGAACTTGAAAAATGGCAGTATCCTGAGTCGGAGCTTTTCTGGTTCCACAGGTTCCTTGTTGTGATCCATGAGGATATCCGGTCTGAATCAATGAAAAGCATAGCTATACTAAAGGCCAGAATGTATCTGGATCACAATAGAACGAGAGGCCATAAGACTCGCTTGATTCTTCTTTCCCCCAGCCATGTCGCCTTTGTGGAGCTGCGCAAGGATGGGCGATTGGTGTAGCAAAAGCCTATTACTGCTCACTAGCTCCTCAGCAGCTTGGTACTCACCTGGTTTCCGAGCTCTGTCAAAGGTTTTATCATCGAACTACCAGGCCCCCATTGAGGATACTGCGGCTAATCTAGAGCAATGGAGGATTGCTCTCTCGTTTGAAATATTGCAGATGATACTGGTGCTGTGCGAACCCCGAGATGCTGTTTCTTTTGCACAAGCTTCGATCGCCGTTGAGAAATGCTACTATACTTCGATTCCCCAATTCAAGGACCTAGCTGTGCAAGAATATGTCTCGTCTATACCATGCTGCGGTAAACCTGATGGATTACATGTTCGAGGACTCTGTTGTGCGGAATGCTATGCTTGGCAGCATGTCGAGTGCGTCGGTCTGCTACACTGGCCATCTGATATACAACACATCTGTTCCAAGTGCCAGGAGAAAGAGCCACTTGACCCTTCCCTGGTTCTTCGAAAGAGCCGGCGATATAGATGGAGAGACTGGCCAGTGCATAATGGGAGGTCTGCAATGGCACTCCGACACGGATGTTATGTGGGCGGAAAAATAGCGGGCTACATAATTTCCTTTAATGGCATGTTCTCTGGTATGTCTTATGTGCTTGAAACTATACGTGACATGGACTGCGATGGGAGGAGTTTCGGTCGAATTCGGGGAAGAAGATGAGGCACCTCCCCACTTCGAAACGTTCCAGCTGATAGCACAGTGATATCATCGTCTCTACAATTTATGGTAACTTTCTTCCCCTTTGTGATCCACGGGTCTAAATTGTGCTCGATTTATGTTGACAGTTGTTCTTTATCCTTTTTTCAGAGGCCGTTTCCGAATGACTGATCTATTTGTGCATTCCTAGAACTCTTATATGCTTTAAGAGATCCAAGTCTTCCAGCACCATAGTATCATCATGAGTCTACATTTGCAAAAATGATGTTCTAGGACTTTATTTATCTGAATAGCCTTCCCCCATCACCGATGAAATGCCAGCCCCTAATGCAATATAGTGGGATGGTACTCGGCATTAATAGGTCTAATGCCGCATTGTTAATCAAGTACATCGCTAAGTCGCGAAAGGTAAGAAGAGCAGTCGACCTTAGGCACCAACCTCACCAGCCATACAACTACCACGTCCTATCATACAACTCATCCTCTCTCTTCTCAGTCCCCTCCAACTGACGCATCGCCAGCCTCCTGGCAGCAGATCTCAGAGCGGGATGTTTTGCATCCACAATTGGCCTCACAAACCGCGACACACCACCCTCCTCCCTCTTCCCCTCCTCGACAACGGGAAACCACGTATCCCCCATCCCTGTCGGTCTCGCGTTAATATAGATATTTTCCCACTTCCCCTTCGGCACAATATACGTCTCATGGTAAATCGTAATATGCGGATGATCCTTAACGATCCCCGTCCACCACTTCATGCCCTCCACATGAAGCGAGCCATGCGCAAACCGATGTAAGGCATCGTAATCTCGGAGATAGTAAATTGCCATCAACTCATTACCTGCGGCGTCGTCCTGCTTACCCCAGGTCGAGACTCCGAGGAGGCCGTACTTGACAGGGTCGGAGTTCATCTCGCGGTTCATCGCTATGACTTGTTTGTTCACCTCGGAGAATCCTGGGGCGAAGATACCGAGAGGGTGGTTTGAGCGTGTGCCTAGGTGAAAGACCACAATTGACTCAGAGGCAATTTCCTTCCCGAAGGTGCCGTTTTCATCGGGGGCTTGCGCAGAGAATCTTGTCTGGATGACACCGTCCATGTAGCGATTTCGTGTTATGTTGGCAGCCATCAGCAAGTGGTCGGTTGTGCGGTATAGGAGGATTAGCATTGTCGGGAAGAGGGCGTAGGTGCCGAAAACTATTACGACGAGCCCTTGTAGGAGTCCGCCCAGGAGCAGCCAGGTTGAAAGGGTTAAATTGTCACGAATTACTGCTGATAGCAACGGCGAGTTTCGCGGGGGCTGAAGTATTCCCCGAGAGTTTGTCGACTCTTTTGAGACGTTGAACGGTGCTAGGAGAGGTTTGAAGGTCATCATTGTAAATCTCTTCTCGACCTCAGAGTTTGCAAATATATCTGAGAATAGTAATGCGAGAGCAAGATTTGAGGAGTGCAAAGACAGAAAAGAGGCCTGCTGCTTTATATCCCACGAACATGTATATGTCCGTCGGACTTTACCAGAAACGTAATTTGCCGATATTACTAAATATAATCGATTGACCTTGAAACTTTTATATATCTAAATATAGAGCGTATTACATTCGAGAATTATCATGTCATACATCCACTTCGACTTACAATTATTCTCCTCCAATAAAGGTTGGGGGTGAATGTAAAAATTTTGGTTCTGAATCCTCAGCTGTTGGTAGCAACCTATATGGTACTATCCTTATTCGGGGCCCAAGACGCGATCTAAAGGTCCCCACCAAATTCCCAGCCACGTACAACATCAAAGAGGGGGCTTTAAGCATTCCAATATGAATATGACAACCTTTTTGTCTATTGCCTGAGCATAATCCTTACTAATTACAACACAAAGATATGCAGGATCTGTTGAACCTCCTCGATGTACAATTGCTGAGATTCCCCTTATCGAATCCACCTCCCCATCCATTCCTTATTAACCCTCTTCGCCTCCTCAACAAGCCCTAACTCCAACAGTAACTGCACAACACCCCTAACAGATGAGTGTAAAGAGCTACTCACCCACGCATGCGTCGGAGCCGTATGCTCCCCGATAAAGATCGTATTATGCTCGGTCTGATGATAAGCCGGGATATAAAGCCGATGTTGCTCAACATCGGGCCGACACCACGATGTAGCGGTATGTTCATCCTGTAACCAGCAAAGCCTTTCATAATCACCGGTATACAAATCACGGGCCTGTTCTCCATGTAGTGAAACCACAGCATCTAGCACAGTCTGTACATGCTCTTCATCTGAAAAACTGACGAATCGATCACTCCAGTCGCCACCACGGTAATGCATGATAAGGCCTGGGCGGGACTCATTCAGTCCATAGACAGGATAGTACAACGCTCCAACAGAATTGCTCGGCGGAGTAGAATACCCACCGAAAATAGGCTTATCACCTTTTTCCCAGAAGCGCTCCGAGAAGAGCAGAGCCACCTTACAGGCAGACTTGAACCGCAACCCAGCTTCACTGGTCGCGCGGTCTAGAACTGAGGAAAACTTAGGCAAGTCCATGAACCGAGTCATGGTAAAAGGTACCGCCATAATGGTATAATCATACGTCTTGCTCTCGTAGGTCCGATTTCCAACAGATGGATACCACGATAACCGCGTCTGCATGCGCCCATCAGGGCCATCCACAGCCTCCAGCTTCCGAATCTTTCTGTTGAGCATTAGTCGGTCACTCACATGGGGCAAAAACGCATCCGATAAGCGGTTGAACCCCCGATCAATGCAAACCCATTCTGTCTCTCCCAAGGAACCAGGTCTCCCATCCAACCCAAGGTTCGAATTATGATGCATCTCATCCCAGAACACATCATAATCACTATCCGTCCAAATGGCATCGGTCACATTCACACTCGCATTAAACACATGTTTCATCATAGCCTGTTCGCTCCACTCGTCCAATCCACGATTTATAACAGTCCGATGCGCTCGCCACACATCCCTCTGAATGAACTTCAGCATCTCCTTCGCACTCAGTATCCCCTCCATCTTGCTCTTAGTTTTCTCGTACTCGGCAGTAGTCATGGGGTCCTTGGTCCCCAACCCAGTTTCATTCCCATATACTTCCCTCCTCGTCGGAATAGACCCATCGGTCAACCGACCCGTACCCCGTGCCAGCAGCTCATTCTCGTGATGCTGTATCCACGGAATAAAATCAATCTTCCATTGACTCTCATTGCCATTCATATTGTTCAACAGCTCCGCCAGCTGAAACACCATCGCATGGTCCGAGTACTCCACCGTCTCGCCATCGTTATATCGGACCCTGACAGGCAGCCTCATGGGCCCCATTTCAGCCCATTCATCTGTGTTCCCTACGAGTTTCGTCCGAAAACGTCCTCCCACCCTATCACTCGCTTCGAGTATTTCCCAATTATGGATTCCGACGCTGTCAAGTAGGAGGGCGGTTGTGAGGCCTGAGATGCCGGCGCCGATGATGGCGATTGTGGTGTTTTTGTTTGTGGGGTTGTGTGTTCCATTGGTAGCGGCGGCGGCGGCGGTGATGGTGTTTATAGCGTTGATGCCGTCGAACCAAGCGCCGAGGGCGTCGAAGTCTTGGAGTTTAGGCGTTGCGGTTGTTAGAGGGAGGAGGAAGGGAAGGAGGTTATGAGGTCGCATTTTGAGGGAGTTGGGAAGGAGGGTTTTAGGGAGGTTGGCTTCGGAGGGAGGATGGATCTGTTCTAATTCATTGTGAAGTTATATTCGGCTCGGTAGGGACCTTGTAGATGTTTACCTTGGTGGATAGTTTTTTGATCTGCTTGTTCCTGGTGTCGATCGTTATTTAGGTGCGTCCGCAAGGTACTAGTTGACCGCACCATGAATTTTGGGGATGCTAGAGGAAATATTATGCGGTGTAGCGAGGGAGGAAATATTATATGGTAATAACTTTTCAGCATTCAACTCTATCTGATTAAAAAAAGGGGGGGGGTATATAAAAGTAGTGAAAGCAATCCAGAACAACAAACCCGGAAATCTCTATACAACAACGCCATCAACGTGCCATTTGAATCACGCCAAAAATTCACTAAAAGTGAGGGGCATTCAAAGCCATCAAACACATCAGTCCTGCAACCAATCCAGCAGCAGGCAAGGTCAAAACCCAGCCCATAAAAATGAATCCAAGCTGGCGCCAGTTCATGGCTCCCATATCAAAGTTCATGAGAGCCACACCAGTAGCGGCTCCAGTAAGGCACTGTGTGGTCGAAACGGGGAGACCCAGTCGAGACGCCAGGAGGACAGTGATCGCGGCTCCAAGCTCAGTGGCAAACCCACGGGTGGGTGACATCTGGGTGATCTTGTTACCCATCGCGCGCATCACGTGGTACCCATAGAACCAGAATCCGGCACCCAGGAGCAAACCGGCAATGACGAGGAACCAGACAGGAGTTTCCGCCTTGGTGTTCACCTCGCCAGAGAGGTAGGTGGCGTACGAGCCAGCCCAGGGGCCAACAGCGTTAGCGACATCGTTAGAGCCGTGAGCGATGGACATCATCATGGCGGAGACAACTTGGCAGTAGGTCCAGAGATGCTCGACGCGGTCGTCGTAGCGGCGGGCACGGGCGTGGACGGCACGGAGGTGCTCCGAGTCGTGGGTGACGACGTCGCGAGTGACGCCCTGGAGGAGGATAAATTTGGTCCAGCCCCAGTATTTGGCCGGACTGAGCCAGGAGAGGTGTTCGACGGGCTGGAGGAAGCGCTCGTGGGGGCCGATGATGGGCTTTTTTGGTTGGATTTGGGGCGTGGCCATGGCTGATTCAGCGGTGCGCTCGAGGTCGGAAATGTTCGTGTCCTTCTTATCGGTTGCTTTCTCGTTATCCTTCTGGCCGGCGCGGACTTCACCATGGGCGTCTTCGTAGTAGTTGATGACAAAATTTTCACCCTTGCCAGGCCAGTAGAGGGGGCAGTCATCCTTAAGCAGCCAGGGGCCGAGGGGAAGGTGCCAGACTTGAATACGGGGATCCTCTTTCACGAGGCGACGGTGGAAATAAGGGACGAAGAAGACGTAGGAAATGAGGAGACAGCCGAAGAGGACACCGAGGACGATACCGACAGCCTTGCCGGCACCGAACTCCTCGAGCGAAGGAGCAGTAGGGGCCTCAACCACGATGAAAAGGGCGAGGATAGCTCCGGTCATGGAGAGGTAGACGGGAATGAGACGCATACCCCATTTGAAAGGGTCCTTACGCTCCAGCACGCTATACTTGAGGATACCGAAGATAAGAGCCGAGAAACCGCAAGCCACAGCCGGGGCAATACCCCAGGATGCTGCGACTTGGGACACACTGCCACTCTTCCATCCCCAGGAAATCTCTGCTTGTGCAGCGAATCCAACACCGACCAAAGCACCGACGACGGTTTGCGTGGTTGATACCGGCCACCCGAGGTTAGTCGCCACCATCAGCCAGGCGGCACTTCCAATCTCTGCACAGCCCATGGCCAGCATGAAAGTGCCGGGCTTGCCCACGAAGCGGTCGGGACTGATAATGCCAGATTTAATAGTTGAAGTCACACGACTACCCAAAGCCACGGCACCGACGAATTCGGTGATAGTAGCCAGGATACCAGCCTGCCACATCTCCAGGGTCCGAGCAGCCACGGACGTTGCGTATGAGTTGGCCACATCGTTGGCACCATTTCCGAAGGCGCTGAAGACGAAGGCAATAGAGGTCAATGCCAGAATCCAGTCATACTTTGCAGTGATGGCGGGAATCATGTTGGGCGGCGTGCTGAACCGCACCGAAAAGGGATGCGGAGGGCGAGGGGAAGGATTGGTATAAGGTTGAGGTTGTCTTGAAGGACTGAATATCTTTGCACCTCAAAACTTGTTGTTCTACGGGCAGAAGAGTATTAAGTAGTAACCCTTCTCTCCTATAGTCGGGAAGACTGCTACATTCGGTGAAAACGTGCCTACAGACTTCACGCCAAGGCATCGAGCGCTGCATCCTCATCTCGGTCCCTCAGCTAGTGGTGATTGGTACTCAGGAGAACGTGAGCTCTGGCATCGCACACATTGGTCGAGGGCTCATCTTCCGCTCGCAGCATGCCGAGAGGAGCGGACTTGGCGCCAAGTGCCGCCGAGACGCCATCCGAGGGTACTGGACCCTGATAGCACCCAATCAGAAGGCCCTTTCGAGCACGTTCCTGATCTTCTGGTTGAGGATGGGGTTCGAGATAGTCGTTTAGGGTTGCTGCACTGGTGAAAAGATATCCTAAGCCCGTCTTGGTATCTCGGTGCGTGACTTGGCAGAAACCTTGAACCTGCGGACGCTCGCATGATTTAGAACTCACGAGGGGATTTGCCACTCTTGGGAAAATGCTCGGGCAAAATCGAAGTTTCGAAACACCATGCGAGGCATTGCTGACCCACGTGGGAGCGTCTCGTCGTTCGTTACAGTGGAGGCGTCATAGACTGGGCGCGGACATTGTGTGGGTCGTGAAAGGGCAGTACACACGCGACCACTTGCCACTGAGCATCAATTAGAACTCAGCACACATTAATTCAGGTAGAATGCCGCCGTAGAGCATGTTTATGGAATATACCATGTGCAATTCTGTAGAATATGCCGACCTATAGCGATGTGTGCACAGTATGTGGCATACTTTTGGCTTATAAATTATCCTTTAACAAGGATAACTCAACTAAGGCGAGATGGCCGAGCGGTCCAAGGCGGTTAGTACCACTATATCTTTAGTATCTTATCGAACGTTCACTAATAATCTCTCAGCTGGAGTAAGGTTCCAGTCTCGAAAGGGGCGTGGGTTCAAATCCCACTCTCGTCAACATCTTTTTTTGCGACTTGCTTCCCATTTTTGCCTGTCTAGCTCTATTTCAATCTGTCTATCCCTTTTTGTTTGCTGTCTGCAATCATCCCTAGTCATAGGTGCCCATCGATAGGTAGAGACAAGAACGTAAAGCACTGTAGTAGGGACATCTATGCGATTTGAGATCTCGTTATTGGCAACCCTCGTACACAAGTGGGATAGCTGAACACCACTTCTTAAGCCTACCATTTCGCTCAGTAAAACTAACAAAGCCTTCATCTACCCTAAGATCAATCCTTATTGTTCGTGTTATCCTTTTAGCAAAGTAGACTACAGTGTCAGCTATAAAGGGACAACAAGGCCAATATATATAGTTCGGTTTTGGTTGCTGTCTTTGGCCGTATCATAGGAAATATAAATATTAACGACACCATCGTGGAAGGCTCAATATGGTATTCGATGAAAAACCGTGGAAAGTTTTATTCAATAATGTATTCAATAGCTATTCACGACTAATCCAAGGCTTTCTTAATTAAACTAGCGTAGCCATTACTCTTGACTAGTGTGTCAGTCAATATACTTCTCGATTTAGAGCTAGGACGAAAAATCTTCTCTGTTTTGTCTTTTCTGGTTCTGTATAAACATAGTGAAATTCAAGGTACAGTATTATCCCAAAATTCGGCTAAGAGTATAAAACAGAATATATATTCAAAATTAATATAATCGCTAATATATCGAGATTATTGCTATAAGCGTCATCACTTCAGTAGAAAAATCCTGCTCATGTCCATTAATAGCACACTAGTCGTCAAAGTCGTCGTAAAGCTCATCTTCCCGGTCATATATTGTGCCGTGCGCTGCCTTCATATGAGTGTAGATAGCATCCTGATCGAACTTGCCCCCACAGAAGTAACACCAATGCGTGTGGCAATCTTCCACTTCACACTCAATGTGGCCGCATCCACTGATCTTTTCTGTCATGACTCCACACCCCGGACATGGTCTGACTCGAGTATTTTGCGGCGCAGAGCAGTCTTCACAGCGCCAGTTAGTGACCTCTGTTGGCGTTCCCTGGGCACAAACCCGTTCCAGGTACGGCTTCGCCGTAGCACAAGCCCGGCACCAGGAGTAAATCCATGTTCCACGTTCTTGGATTGCAGCTTGAAGATTTCCGACGGCATGAATACCCATTCCATGCTTAGCTAATGTTTTGGCTGAGGGGAACCGTCGACAGAAGGGACATGCGAGGGCTGCCGTGTTAATCATTCTACCGGCTGTATTAAGGCCATACCAGTGCGACAGACAGTCCTTGCAGATCCGCTCCTGACAGCCTCGACGTCCACAGGCGGAGCTGAGCGCCGTGGGATGGAAATTGCTGAAGCAGAGGGAGCACGCGATCCTCGCAGAGCGATATCGGGATACGCAACCCTGTAGTTTGGAAACTATTGCTTCACTATTCTGAATCAGCTTGCCTCGCACTGTGAGGCGCGGGTTTAACACCGGGAAAAGCGTGATACGAGAGACAAAGTTATCCGGCCCGATTGTTGACACGGTGTGGTAAAGCGAGCGGTCGCTGAAAATATGACCATCTGGCTGCAGGGAGTCTTTAATGAGCCAGGACAGCGTGTTTTCTCCAGTCAGCTGCTCCGCACTAGTCTCCTCGCTCACTATTGTCTGCCGGCCTGCCATACACGCTGGGCAAACAAAATCAGCCTCGGAGAAGTTAGCGGGGCGATATGGCTCCGGCCAGATAATCCGACTCAGACACCGGTGACATTCCACATAGGGCGCATTCTGGAGCGAGTGCTGTGCGTCCCCTGTAGACTTTGAAGCATTCTGTGCTCTGCAGTAGTAGCATTTCGGTCGGACCCGTAGCTTGTGGACTCCATATACTACATATTGTACCCTACAGGCTGGATAGTAGCATTCCACCCATGTTATCGGCGTCTGTTCGGTATCTTCCTTTGTAGCGCCGTACGCCTCGGGAAACCCCGCGTTTATACACATGCCACATTGTCCATCCCGGCCCATGACGGTGACTGATCGTGGATACTGACAGGTCCGACAGGTGACGAGAGGGCCGATGGGTAATGCCGTCTTTTCGGGCGTCCATCCAATCTGAGCGGTAACCGTTGTGTGGAGATTCAGCTCCAAGAACCGGTAAGCGATCAACTTCTCAAAAAGCTCTCGATCACTCGGCTTCAAAAGCGTCGGTGGCTTGATCACTGCAGCGGTGACTTCACCAGCATGGTCCGTTGCCTGATCCAATGCCCGCCGCTGTTGGTACTTGCGATCAGCATCAACGAGTAGGGAGAGACATGAAACCGTCCATGTTTCTGGTGCCTCGATGTTGTTCCATTTTTCCCTCATAGCCAGTACTTCCGTCTCAGCTACAGTTACTAAAGGTGTGATACCTAGTCTTAAAGCAAAGGCAGCCAGAATGGAGGCTGGCCGAGAAGACAGCATTGTACCCGGGACAACAACATGCAGTAGGATTCGCCAGAAACGGCGTTCATACTCGTCTTTCGCGAGAGCCATAGGAATCCGTGGGACATCTCTATTCGTCATTGACGCAATATGCTCAGGCATGTCAGCTGGACTCTCAATGTAAGTTAGCTGAGTTAGAACCCCGCCGAGACGGCGAAGGATGTCTGGGTGGCATGACCGGCCTATCTCCAGAAGCTCTGCCCTCGTGAACTTGGTAATATCCGCCGCTTCCTGCTGGGCCCTCTCTTTATTAATGGGATTGGAGTGCTTGAAAGAGAGGGTAGGATCGAAGCAAACACAGGGAAATCGGTCGGCCTCTGGGACACTGCTGATAAGTTCTGCAACTTCTCCAGAGTAGTCGTATGACGCCTCTAACCATTCCGTCATCCGGGACCGATCTTCATCGTTATTTATTCGGCTTACATGTAAGCTGAATGCGTCGAGTAACTCGGATCGGGCGGGGTGGGTTCGGTCATCGCAGATGTTGCGCCAGAGCGTGGCGAAGACTGCATTGAGAGCGATGACACTCACATCCTCCGTAATAATATGCTTCAGGTGCTTAACCGCTAGCTCTTGGTACGATAGATCGGTAGCCCATGATTTGGCGAAATCGGCGACAGGGCTACCTTTCTTGTGGATGTATTTCTCCATAATGTAGGGTGACAGGTGATGTATCTTGAGGCTACCAGCAGGACCGTAAGATGCTGGGGTCGGGAAGAACAAGCTAGCTTCTTCATCGCGTTCACTGCGGATGGTATCTATCCCCGTCATGTCAGGGTAGCTGACAAGCTGCGAGTACCTTTCTTCACCAGTATCCTCAACAGCCTGCTTGCTTATCCCCATCCATGTCAACAAGACCTCAACGGTCACCTTGGTGATAACCGAAGGGAGGTCACCATGCAATATGATACATGAGCCTTGTGTCATGGTACAAAGATAGTTATAGTAGCTAACGAAAGAATGGGACATGCGTGGCTGGAGAAGACAAAAGACCTGGGCCTTCTTCTCGCCTTCACGGAGCAGGTTACATGCTGAAACCCAGTCCTTGAACACCGGGCCAAAGCCACCATAGCTCGTAGGAACTGATAGGGCTTCGTGTTCGCGTACACCATTATCCTCTGTTCGCCACAGGTCTGGCAGTTGAGCGTTGCCGGCCATATGAGGAGGGGCGTCCGTATAGAAGAGAATCACTGTTCTGGCATCCGGACGCATGACTTCGTAGGCTTTGGCCAGTCCTGTCTTTGCCGCTTCGGGGGTGTCCCAGTTTCCTTCTGTTCGAAGAGACGCAGCAATCTTGAGTAGGTCGGGCTGTATACCCGTCGCATTCGGTGAAGTATCGTACCATCCGGACCATTCTAACAGGGTCGGGGCGCTGTAGTCACGATAGGCTATTAATCCAATCCGCGAGAAACAGCGGGTGAGCACCGACATGGATACTATCTGACGAAGGGATGATCTGAGCGACGCCAAGAAGGAACTCATGGAATATGTTGCATCGAGCACGAGCAGCAGATCATGCTGCTCTGCCTTCGCGGGGTGTGAAACCTCCATCCTGATGGCTGATTGTTGACAAGGTGAGTTGGAAGTAAAGTGATGCTCCCATCGAAGCAGGTATTTATGTTTCCTGCTAGTGAGTCATTGTAAAGAGCTCGATGTCATTCATTCCTAGTCCCTGAGCAGAATGGCGCTTTCCTTCCAATTGAGCTTATGTGAGTCATTGGTAGGAAGCCACAGTAACGTCCGGCTAAATTGTATACGCCATCCTATTATAGACCCCGCCTTAGCTCCCCACATTTACGTTACATGCCTGGAGATATTAGCCCAGTGCGGGCTCTGACTTCATTGGTGGCCATTGGAAACTAAAGATTTGCATGACTCATGAGATAGAGCCGCATCATGCCACAGTCTGTTATACGTAACCAGCGAACTAATCATACGAAGGGGAATCGGCTACTATCCCGGTATCTAGCGTCGGTACATAATATGGCTGTGGCAGGGTGGAAAAAGATCGAGCTGATCTCGGTGGGGCTGCTTGTATATCATTTACTCATACGAACTTTTGCCAGCTGTATACTAAATAGAATAGGCTCTGATAATTCCACTCACAATCTGTAAGCGAACCACCCCACAGGGATCGACATGATCTTTGCGCGCCCTACCTCAGTACCAGTAGTTGATCAGATGGACTTTTGTATTTGTAGTGACCAACAATGGCGCAGCTGAGCGAAGCGAAACTAGCATTATATGGGACTGCGAGAAGGATCTGGGCTCTGATCGGTCAATGTACTTGGCCTTTGATCGGTTGAGAATTTATCAATGACATCATTCCAGCTCTCTAGAGCTTTTGAACGTGTTGCACTGCCTGCACTACTATTTAAGTAGGATAGGCGATTTAGATAGGCAATCTATGTAGGTAAAGGGTTTAGGAAATCTAGGTAATCTAGATACTTAATATAGAATAATCGATTTAGATAATCCCTAGTAAGTTAGGGAGTGTGATCAAAGGCCATATGAATCTTTCGTTGTGCATGCCTTTGCTAGACTCTTGAGCAGCGAGCTGGCAGCCCCTAGTAGAACATGGATAATTGTAGGGGCATCACAAATTAGATTAAGAAATGGATTGCGAGTCGGACTGTGAGCTTCACGATTTCGGCAAGTCTGTTCAATGACATATTTTGTTACGACCCGAGGAGCCGACCTGTTATTCGAATCAACCTCCCCTTTCGCCGGTAGCATTTCTCTCCAGCTTCTCTAGGGAATACCTTGAGGCTATCACGTTTCGTAACGGCGTATCTCAGACGGGGCCAACTGACATATGGCAGTTTGGGCGTATTCATCCTTTGCCTAACCAGTCTATTCCAAAACGAGGAACTAATCTGCCTAACTGATACTCGTCGCGCAATCAGAGCCATTGCTCACCCGCACGGCACCCAAGCCAACTACTAAGAGGAGAAACGGAGCAGTTTATTCTGCTTCATGGAGTACCTGATAGATGATTAACAGCAGCCTAAGTATAGTTGTGACTACGGAAATCGCTTGCATGCTTCCTTGTAACTGCCTTTTTTACTACTATTCATGGCTTGGCTTTTCTGGCCTTTTCTTGTCTGTTCCACCATAACTGCACGATCTTATCCGGAAGATCATCCTGCACAATTGGAAACGTTCGGAACGTACAACTGAGATCCTGTAGATTCGGGAAGTGTTTCACGATTTGTCGGACGTGGTCATAAGGTCGACTGGGATCTAAAGTCAGTGAATTTGTAGATGCAGTGTAAATTAGAATGTCTGTCACCTGTACGAGAACAGTCGTTCACAGTTGGTAAATGCTCCGATAGAAAGAAGCTCCAGCGCTGGAAACAACGGTTGTTTTTCATATCTGAAAGCCGCCATGTCATAGATACCCATGATCTCGCAGCGTTGAAGTAATGGGCAGCATTTCCCTAGGTTCACAAGGGAGTCGGTCGTAATATCAGAGCGAAAAATATCAAAATTGAGGGCTTCCAGTTGGCTGAGGTTTTTAAATAGCTCTTCAAAGTCAGAGTCTTGGAGTCTCGGCGCTATCAGAGAAATTGCAGAGAGTCCGCTGATGCTAAGGCGTCTCAAATGCGTCAAGCTTTTGAGAGACACAATGTCCTCGGTCGCGATCCTCATATTACCCCAGATGAACAGAGTCAGGATCTGTAGTTCAGTCAACTGGGAGATATGTTTAAGGGCCGCACTGTCATAATCCTCAGAACAGTCAGGGCCGCCTAGGGTTAGGTTGAAGCTCCGGATTGATTTGATCATGCCCACCAGCGATGGAAGTGCGGCTTCCGTGACTGTTATCGTTAGGTGTTGCAGGGCCTTAAAAGGAGATGATACATTGAAACCTCCAATGGCGTCTATATCGATGAGACCCTCAAGAGAAAGCCTTTCCAGTTTCTTGCTACCTGCCAGATGATTGAGTATTTTACCGGTGGCTAAGTCTTCGGAGTGGATAGATATGTCCGATAATGCAGGGCAATTTTGAAGAAACTCAAGGAGGATCTCTGGCGTCAGACGGGGATCTTGTCTGCTAATTGAGAAGTTATATAACCTAGGACAGGAAACCTGAATAAGGCTAAGCAATTCAGGGTCAAATGTTCCACTGAGTTCGATCTGTGTAAGCCCTTGGTGCATGTAGCATTTCAGTAACGAAAGGTCTAGGGCGTCATGGTCGTCATGTTGTTCTAAGTCGATACGTAGCATTGCCAACTTCGGAAAGGAAAGATGACTGAATTCTCTCAGATCTTTGTTGGTCCCTCGATAGACAATAAATTCTCGGATCACCGACGCATAAATCTGTCTTCGGTGCTTTGGGACTCGGCCAAGGAGCCAACACCGTGCACGTCGCCATACAAGGGAAATTCCACAGTTAAACCACTGGGAATTGATCCGTAGACAAGGAATTATATCGGGCCCTGCATACCGCAGGATCTCTAACACAACCTCGGAGGAGAGATGCACCATGTTGGGGAGAGGGAGGGCTGGGATGTTGGTTAAGGTCAGTGGGATGGTGGACGTGTTGTTGACGCTCGCGTCCCCTCAAAAATACGCGTTTTCTCGGGAATTTTTTTTACTTCATCTGTGGAACACGCTGATCTATTATTATAGGGTTGGGACATCTATTCTAAGAAATTTTAAGCCTTCCAATAGATCTACTGATTAAGAGACTATAATCTTTCTAAGATTAGCACATGATTAGATGCTTGTTTTTCCTCTGGTGTTCGGTTATTATAGACCATATTTACCGCGACTGGGCGGCACCTTATGGTAGCTTTATTAACTACGGGACGAGCGATCTAAGGTCGCTGCCTCAGGCTACCAACCTGATTTTTGAATCCACAACTAATGATCCTCTTGGGGATACAGTTCCAACTATCTGATAAATACGAGATTCACCAAGTAGAAGGCTGGCTCTTCACTTTATAAGCGTAAATTAAGTTGCATTCGAAATGTCAGGTATAATATTCTCTATCTAAACTGTTGCCATTGCCTCCTTATCGGTGTGTAACATCTATTAGCGTTGCTGTAAACTGCGTTGCCAGTGGTGTGTGCTGGGAGAAGAGACTACCACACAGGCTACTTGTCTTCAAGCCATTCACCTGCCTCCAGGGAAGGAAGAGGGAAAGAGGAAACCCTGCAAAGAAAAAACAAAAAGATTGAGAAGACACAACTAGCGCAGCTCGACTACCGCAACCCACTGACATCCACAGACATATTCATGGCAAAAGTATAAGGCTGATCGAAGCATGCATCCCAATGCGTCTCGCCCGACGCCCAGAATCTCTCCAGAAGAGTCCGCGCCATGAGGGGTGCATATGTCCCGGTAGAGTGACTTAGCTGTGGTAGTTGCTGCCGTAAAAACTTCCGGATTCCTGCGTCATTTACTGCCGCCACGCCTAGCACTACTAGGTCCCAGACGATGAATCTTTCAATCCGGTGGAAAGTCAACGCGTCACTCAGGAGCCTATGTAAGAGCTGAGTGTGATAGATGCAATGCTGTTGTAGGAAAGAGCTTTGAGGCAGGATGGCTAAGCTTTGTAGAGAAAGGATACAGTACAGAGCCACGGCTGCCTGGTGGATGTTTCCTAGAAGTACCCATTCTGCATGGGCTCTCGACTTGGGCTCAGCCCACTGTTCTGCAGAGAAGCTATGGATCCGGTTAAGAATTTCATATGCATTGTTGGTATATACGCAGGTTGGTGTGGGGTCGCTCTTCGAGGCCCGGACGCGGAGGTAGTTGATTTTGATGATCTCAGCAAATAAGGCGGTAGGGTATGCCGCGAAGGCGAATGGTCGACTACTATATTGGTTTATCATGAAATCAAGCTCTTCGAGATGCGAGGTCGCCATGGTCAAATCGGGTACAGGCGAGGAAGTATCGCCCATGACGGCGGTGCTGTATGATAGTCAAACCAGGGAGGTCACTGAAAGGAACAGTACTATTTACAACCACATACAACACGACGAATAGAAGCAATGGCACCATCCTGGTCGATTGGGCCAGGGAACGCATGCCGCCACGTAACATGAAGATTCTTCGGACTCCATCGAGATGGCACCGATAATGCGGCGAGGCACCTTGTTGGGCCTTGTGTGCCCAGACATGGTCAGTACTATCTATCCTTGCGTCCACTAGGGTGTACCGACGTACATCGACAAGAAGAAGTGTCAGGATGCCAGCAATGACGAGATCGCTCGTGCATTTATGTTCCACTCTAATATCATCACTTAGAGATCGAATGAGCTGGCCACGGTAGTGAAAGAAATTCCGCGCCAGCGCATGGCACTCGGGTCCATGTCTGGCGCGATTCATTCGATGACTCAGGGTCATGCAGACGATCACGAGTCGGATATGATCAGGATGGGTCGCAATGGCCATCTGGAAGATCGGTGGTGTGATTGGATATATGGCAGTGTTTGGGCCAAGTCTGGAGATATGGAGTAAATCGGGGTAGATGCAGGCATTATCTGTCGAACAAGTCAGTCTGATTAACGAGACGCCTGCCCCAGCTCTCTCACTGACAATATTCTGTCGCCTGGACAAACACATGTAGATCAGTTTTTAACTCTGTTGGAGGGCTAACTATATCATTTGGGCTAGCCGACTGCTTCCTCGTTATTTCTTTGGTGTCTTTGTTCATGGGCTTCCGTTTACGAGATTTGACTCTCCCGGGCGCGAGCCACCTTAGCCTGATAGGCTGCGTATCATTGTATCCCGGGCAGATAACCCCGGTCGTTGAACATCGCTTACACTGCGGTCGCGTGAAGTCACATACTAAGGACCGTCGAAGGCATTCCCAGCAGTGACGCTTTCGATCCTCTGCCATGCCTTCCGCGGATCATACAATCGAGGAGGGGCTCAGATTGACATAAATCTAAGTAGCTAACCTGGCTATTCGCGGTAGTTCTGGAGAGATAATGTCGATCATTTAAACACGCAGTTAAAGGGATTTGGTGGCAGTGTCAACTTTGTTACGTGATCATTCTGGTGGGGGCGGAACAGACACCCATGCTTATCTTCATAGAATTCAATGCAGATTTCAGATAAAAACATACATAGCGCGCGACATGAGTCCGGTATAATACTACCCATTCAGACATAAACGGGATAACACGATTTCGGCCAGGGGGTTGGTTGTGAATGAGTTTCCCGTGGACGGTGGAGTTAAGAGCATTCCATGGAGAGATGGAGGGCCAGCATTTGCCAATTGGTGTCTGTCTATTTGCATCCACACATTATATAACTATCTAACTATCATAAATATATCACAACATGACAAAACCAAATTAAGAATCTTTTCGCGCATCATAAATATTACCGATCCAGAACGTCACATACCCTCAATCTCATTAAAGGAAATATCCGTTTGAGACCCGAGCAAACCGCATCTCATCTTCTCCAAAATCGAACACGGCAACAACATTCTTGAAGAAGGGCACTCCCAGAATATTGATCACAAGGCCGGGGATTCCATTCTTCTCCGAGGGGACCAAGGTAGAGACGCAATATCCATTCCCAGTATTGTAGATAAGATCTTCTGGAGCATGGTAGAAGGTCTGGTCTCCAACAACCACGCCGAACACAGGTGACTTGGCGCCACAGTCAACAATGTAAGCCTTCAGCTCCTCGTTGTAAACCGCAGGAGGGTCGAATCGTGTATTAACCGGGTCTACAACCGCAGTAGGGAGAATAGAAAACTCGTTTCCTGTGTCGATAAAGAGCTGGAAGGGGGTGTTGTCCACCACGAGGGCATCCTCTTCTTCTTCCGCCGGTCCGTATTTTACGGCTGGAGTAGTGAAAGCCCAGTAGGAGATCTGTCGCTTATTGGAGGTAAAGTTTATTGGGATATTGTCCATAATTTCCACAGGAACGGTGCTGAATTCACTCGTCAGCTCCACTGGAGGGAGCTCGCCAAGACTGAGGTAGCCGCCAAACGCTTCAGTACTGTCGCGTGAGGTGTGAGCCAGTGCGATACTGAAGTACGGCTCTTCTATCAAGCCCTGCTCGTACATGGAATTGACGACGGGGCTGTACACGGTCCGGTTATAGAAGTAGGTGTCATTGGGGGTGAAAGTGCCCGGATGAGCCGAGGTCAAGCTGGGGTAGCCCAGGCCGAGGAGCCCGTTGTTCACTCCGTCGCCCATTGGGTTTGAGCGGTCGGCGAATGCAAGCTTTGTACGCACAGTAATATCCGCTATAGTAATCGTCTCGTAGGCCATGACACCGCTGGCTAAACCGGCACCGTACTCGATTCCAAAATTTTGGTCAGGGACTTGCTCATAGCTCGACGAGATATGGTATGTTTCTGGGCCATACATGCAGTCTTCTGGGGCGATGATCTGATTGTCTGTTGCGTTGATACAAGTAAAGCCGTCCCGCATAATATATGTGTCGCTGCTTCCTGTGTCGACGAGCAGCTTAAAGGCCTGGTTGTCAGCGCCAACGGTTACGTCAACATCGAAGACACTTCCGCCTAGAGTTGCAAGGAGGGGAACATTGTGGGACTTTTCCTCTTCGCAGGGGAAGCGACGGTTTAACGGAAGAGTCAATGCCGAGCTGAGGGCAGTGAAATGAAGAATTGGTGATAGTTGGAGGAGCTTCATCTTGGCTGTAGTAAGTCCTGGAGATTGAAACTATGAATGTTTGTTGTGTTGTGTTGTGCTGTGGGTAGAACGAGTCGATTGAGCTTGAATTTATATAGTTGAGTGGAGGTATAGGATAGGCACCCGTTTTCTCCCGTTTTCTCTAGTGTTGGGACAGGATTTGGATCCTTAAGCCAAGCTTCTTTGTGGTATCAATCCAATTTAGGTCGATCACCGAATAGGGCTGCGCTGCCGCGGGGTTTGCCAAGCCCCGGCGATATTTTTTCTTTATTAATTTTCGGTTGCCTATTGTTAAACAAAGAGATCCCAGTGAAAAGTTTGCCATACGAAGTGTTATAATGCGAAACAAAAAGGACGGTCCAGGTGTCTCCAACAGACGGGAAGTCCACACGTCTCCTCGGAGGCTGGGCCAATCGTGCCCTTGCATCGCATGCAGGAAGCCACCGCAACCACTTCGGCCCAAGATCTTGTTTAAGGCTCCGATAAAAGACAATCTATTTCTCCGTATACAGAATAGTACTCTGTACGATGATAATGTGAGGCTCAAAGGTATCGTCTCTCTCCAGTGCTTTTCCCTTCATGTCCTATGGCAGTAATCTCCAATTTGAATGATACCAAGGACGAATGATCTTTCTGATTCTGCCAGCAGGCCTGTGCGAATGGAGCTCGATTCTATTGTCCCTAAGTAATTTCCGGATCGAACGTTCTCGGCCAATATTCCGAGTGCGTTGTGAACGAGGCTCAGAGATACTACCTACTAGTAGTTGGGCCCTAAGACCCCTGCTCGTTGAGCGTTTGACGTCAAAGATGCATCGAACACCGCCGATCCTTCCTGTTATATGCTTATTACCGCAAGGAATATAGTCTGATCAGTCTAGTTCAGCTCAGTTCATCGTCGTAGGGTTTTTTATCCATTGGGAACTTTAGAGATTAATCCCCAACAGAACTTGCCTGCAGCAGCCAATAGGAATGAAATCCGAGTGTTGGTTGGCCCGGCTGTGGCCTTAGGCTACCACAATCAATTTTTATACAAGGATCTACTGACAGGGATATAAACGACCAGAGCACATTCGCGACTGAGTCTCGCCCAAAAAGATCAGTCCTTCATTTCTACAGAATTTGCGGTAATTATGGTCCATAGGTCATGCCATGGCCCATCCCAGCTGAAACGTCCGTACTGTCGCGTCCGATATTGCCTTCCATTTTTTGCTCAGAGAGACTGGTTTTTAAACCCTAGTTCTAACAAATAAATAGTATTATTAATTACATGGCAAGGTTCACGTGGGTTATCATGCAGATGAAACCCCAACTAATGATTGGGAACTATGTACTTTTTAGAATATAATCTCTAGGAACAACATGTGGAAGGCAATACTGTAATCGTCAACCTCCATTCACCATTCGTCTTAGATTTGGTTTAGGAGACTGCTGGTACAGACTGTCCTGATACGGTGTCACCACTTTATACTCTTATTGGCCAGAAGAAACCAAGCTAAATTTAAACTGGAATGGCAAGGGACAAGAACTCACATTGGAGTACTGATTGCCTTAATCGGGCTTAGCGTATGGCCTCGATCTGCATATCGTTGGTTTTAATGTAAAGTAGACAGGCGGACGTATAATAAGTATGCCAATGGTAGCCAGATTAAATACCAAGCTACTAACCACCAAGACCCATCATTTCTTACCAATACATTGACAGGTTAGTAAAGTCTAAGATTTGTAGCTCGACTGTTGAAGTAAGCAGAGCGAACGCACCCTCGCAGTCATAATCCTGAATCATATGTACACCCTGTATTGAAATATTATGTACATTAGTTCCGTAGTAGTTTGAATGGCTTTCGATATTGGTGGGTTTTTTTCCGATCGCAGTGTGACGAGTGACAACCAATCCGGATCCAAAGCCAATCTATGGCAACGGGCAGTGCCACCTGCTTTGACTTTCATTCAATTGATCCCTTAGGAAATACCACCTCATGACCAGGCCTTCACTTTGGACCATTCGCTCACCTCCTGAGACCCCCATTCCCTGAGGTCAATGGAGGGACAGATTGGCCAACACAGCCTCAACCCAAAAGCGTGACCCAAGAGGAAGAAAAGAAACGGCGAAAGAAGGTACGAAACCTCCTAGCAAGCCTTGATAGCAATACAAGCCTGAGATGGGACTTCAATATCGAACATGAACCTATCCGGGTTGTCGAGGAATGCCCGGCGATACCGTAGACACCGCTTGCTAGTTAGCAGTTGGCCCCGACACGATACGTCCGAAGCGTATTTGAAGAACTGCTTATTTCCCCGAACGTTATTGCTACGACGGATCATGTCATCCACACGGCTTGCATAGTTAATGCAGTCAGCGCAGTAGGCATGTCGGTCCATAGCTTCCGGTGGGACCCGCGTGTTGTTGTAGAGTAAGATGCCTGTCGTTCATCAGTTATGGACGTTGGAGGCTTTCTATAGGAAGCACGGCAAAGGTCTCGTACCACATCCTACTAAAAACAGGCAACATGCGGTAATAGCCACCGAAATGATGGAAATTCTCATATTAGGGTTGGGCGCAGCGATCGATGCTTCAGAGTGGACTTTGTGGCATGAATGAATGTCGGATGGATTGCTATGTCACTAACCAAATTGGGGCGTGTTGAAGCCCCCTCTCCGATTACCCTTCCTGGCTTAGTGTGTGCCTATGGACATCTTAGCACGTGACCGTATGTTAGGCATCTATGTTTGTTCACTCATCTACGGAGTAGTGGTGACTAGAATACAGTGCATAGCAGTACATGAATAGGAAGAGCTTGCTGTTCATAAGATTCATTGCTAGAATGAACGCTAGCAAATGTAGACAGGAGGAATCATGGACATGGAAATTCTAAGACGTGCACTATATTCAAACATAAACATCAGAGACCTTCACTGAACTATTTCCTCCGTGTTTGGGTGAAAGACACGCCATTTCTCCATATCAGGACCATGCGAGCAAAAGTGCCGTGGCCAGTCCAAAAGATCTGCGTACCCAGGTGGTATAACTGCCAAGACCTCCGAGAGGAGTGATTCTGCACGTTTTTCCATAACCCAAAAACCCCGGAAAACATGTAGCTGTGTGCAGTAGCAAGCTAGCAACACAAGGGCAAAAGGGTTTCTCTGCTCAATCAAGCTAACAAACCCGGTGCGGACTACAATCGGCCAAATATAAGCCATACCGCTTGCAGAGAGGGTGCGGGCATGTTCAATGCGTTGGCAGGTTTTCTTCAGTTCACTGATGGCATGCTCCAAGACTGATTTTTCTTCTTCTGCAAGTTCCTCAACAGTGAGCCGATATCTGAGCTTATTGATCTGGTCATCAAGGCCACGGAATAGACGAAAAGGCGTATCCCTATGAATCAAATCAGTTGGAAAAGACAAAATCACGATGAGATCATAGGGGTCGCATACCCTTTCTCACTCCAGTCCCGAGCAATTATTGGCCCAATACTAGACTTACTAATCAATGGAAAGAACTCCAGGAGAGATGTTATACCACGGCAGAGATTAAACATCTCAATCACACTGCTCAGAGGCTGTGCATCCTTGGAGTCGGTGGGGACCGCGCATATCCAGACCATGATAACGCTCGAGAATGCGAAGAGTGCAACGCAATTCTCCGCTGTTGGTTTCCGGAGTATGGTTCGGAAAGTTTGAAGCCCTAGGGCCATATGGAAAGTGGAGCTGTTAAGGTAATGACTATGTTTTTCGGGCTTGACATATGACAAATGTAGTGCAGATAACGATAAGATCCCATGCATGAGAAACTCATAGGAATAAGCGATCTTCGGAATCTCAGTTCTCCACACGTGGAGAATATCTTCTTGATCTGATAAGGTAGCACATGTCGAGATGCAGTAATGGTGCATCAGTTCGGGGTCTTGACCGTTCCACTCTCGCACGAAGTATGCCGTATCTGTTAAATTGCGCTGGAAGACACTTAAGGCGGCATCTGTCCGTGCGGATATCTCGGCAAGAGAAGTACCGGGAGCTGGGGTACATGTAATTAGTTGTTCAGCATGTTTCTTCTTTGGTTCAGGTTGTGGTGTAACAACCCGAGGTTGATAGCTACACGAGAGGTTGCGACGAGTACAATTTAAACATGGATCGGCTTCATCGCACTGGAGACCATTAATAAGGAAGAGATAAAAGAGCCAGGTAATGGCGCTATGAGATCTTGATACTTGCCTTTACTCTCCTTTTTTTGCATTGGTCACAGCCGTTGCGAGACTTCTTGTGTGATCTCCGGGGCGGCATGTTCCGTCTGACGTAGTGGCAAGGCGACGAAATCTTCGTTATTCGTTAGACACGAGATAAGATGTGTGTAAGGCCCAAATATGGGGATCGCGAGCAGTAGCTGCTCGAAGTGCGGCGTATTTAAGTAATACGATAGCGAAAACGAACACTGATTCGAATACGGGGCTTTCCAGATATAATTGGCCGTTTGAACGAAGGGGTCCACATTACAATGAAAACTTATCTTCAGTGGCGGCAAGCGTGGGTCTCGAAACACAGAATGTGGAGCACCCCAAAGATCAAATAGATTGCATTTACAATCCGGAGTACTTGCTTTCAGACTCAGGAGAGGTCAGGAATGGCTATAAAACAATAGCCTGGTGTTGCCCATGTTAACCTAGATCGTCATGATGTTGCTTTTCGACGCCGTTAGGGCTTCTGATATCAAACCATCTGGCAAACGGCAATGGTTCAATATTTAATCATTCAAACTATAACCACTTAGCAACTATTGGTTTTCCTATGAGTGTAAGCATACGGATTATTTGCTTCATCTCGGTAGATGGCCGTTGTTGTGACCAGGCTTGGCTATTCTAGTCACTTTATAGCGGCAATGTTGTACCATTGATGATTGAACCCCTGGAGCAAGTGGAGACATCCGCAGACTATAATTATAGATCCGGAGGTGGAAACGATAACGAACTCGAATTCGAGGCCCCATTAAAAACATGAATATGGCCATGAAAAAGAAAGATGGAAGTCTTACCTTCGCAAAAAAATACTTGACCCTTCGCCTTGCAGTTCAGAATTAGTAGTATCTGCGATATCAGTCAATATGAGTGATCACGACGATGGCGGAATCGACTTTCAATTGTACCGCTATACGCCATCCCTTGTCGCAGCAATAATCTTCATTGTTCTATTCACTCTAACAACCGCGTATCATCTCTGGCAAACTGTTCGCGCGAGATGCTGGTACTTTCTGGTCTTTGTGACTGGTGGGATATGTACGTTCAACTCTCCCTGGAAATAACAAGTCAATAACGCGAACCTAACAAAGACCAGTCCAGATAATAGGATACATCTGTCGCGCGCTAGCGCATTCTAATAAAGAATCCGTGCCCATCTATTCCGTGGGAACTATTTTGATTCTTCTTGCGCCCCCTCTTTACGCCGCTTCGATATATATGACTCTAGGCCGCCTCATCGGATATCTTGATGCAGAGAAACTCAGTCCAGTATCCACCAAATGGCTGACCGCAATCTTCGTCACGGGCGATGTGATCGCATTCCTGGCACAAGGAGCAGGTAGAGAGCAGCCCAATATTTTCCACCGTGCTTATTTCAATGCTGACTATAGTTAAGGTGGTGGAATCATGGCAAGCGGCACCGTCAGCGCAATGAACACGGGTGAAAACGTCACAATCGCAGGTTTATGCGTGCAACTCGTATTCTTTAGCGTCTTCATCATTGTTGCGACCATCTTCCATTATCGCATTCGCAAAACTCCAACTTCCAGATCTACCGGAACTTCCATCTTTCCTCGCAGCTGGCGCGAAGCTACCTGGGAAACTGTGATGTTGGGTCTATACGGCGCCAGTGTTCTGATCCTCATTCGGTCGATCTTCCGTTTGATCGAGTATGCGCAAGGCAACGATGGGTACCTAATTAGCCATGAGGTATTCATGTACGTGTTCGACGCGACACTTATGTTCATTACAATGGTGGGAATGAGTTTGTTCCATCCTTCAAAGGTTTTGGGTCCGTTGGCGAAGGCGGAAGCGTCTTTAGACAGGTCCTACACGATGACCACCCAGCTACGCGATGAGTCTGTATGATGTGAATGCTTTGCATTGAATCTGGGACATTTTTTGCATTGTTTGTTGTACATACGCGGTAGATTAAATTTGATTTCTGAATAGCCCCTGCTTCAACATGAAGCTATCACCAACAGAGCTTCAATATTCCTACATTTTGGGCCATACTAACCACCACCACGGCATAATCTATACTTCAAGGTTCGGTGAGGCGCCGTCCAAATTGACTCTACCGAAAAGCGCTGCGTCGCACCAGCAAACAACTCGCCCACACCAAACTATACGGACCCCCGAACCGAACACGAGAGTCTAACAACAAACGGCGTCTTGGCAGTTGTGCATCGCCACGAAGGAACCAAATAGGTCTCTGATATCGATACCTCTCGTCCATACATGCTTTCCCCACGTTAGGGGCCTCGCAGATCACCTCACAGCCACACCATATGACTACGTCATGTCCCGACGTTGTAACATACCATGTGGGCTACATATTTCATGATTATGAGAATTCACTACAGCTTAAATTCAAAAAGTTAGCCACGCATTGATATTCCCGGAATATTCCACATCGATATATTCACAAGTTCCTCATATCCTCAAATCAAACCCAAGAAAATGGACTCGACTTTAGATCCACCTCCTCCCTACTCCTCCACACCACACTTCCCCGAACAAGAAACCCTACCTCCAACCACCTTCATCCTATCAAACAAATCCATCCACACCGAGACAGCCCCCTCAACACCCCTCTACCAGATATCCCAAAACATCTCATCTCTACCCCAAAAGTTCACATCAGTAAAATTCGAACGAATAGAAACCGATGCACCATTAAAACTCGAAAGCAAGTCCCCCGAGCCACAAAGGAAGCACATATTCTATCTCGCTCACCCGGCGCATGCGCAGTACCGGAAAGATGTTCCCGCTTATTATATTACCTCCGTCTCCCTTGGGTCTTTGGGCAATATCCGCTTTGAGATGAGTAAATCGCGGTTTCAGAAGGTGGAGTTTAAGGCGCTTCTGAGTCCGGGGAAGACCATGGGGGATAAGCCGTTGTTTTATGAAGATTTGGAGACAACTTTGTTCAGTGCGAAGATGAAGTGGACTGGGGGTGGGTATAGATGGACCGATGCTCGGGGTAAGGAGGTGGCGTTTGAGGGGGGGAAGGGCGAAGGGTTGAAGTTGGTTGTTACGGCATCTATGAACCAGGATATGAGAGATGCACTGGTTGCACTGTGGGTTTTGAGGGCTTGGTCTGAGACGGCTGAGAGTAGCGAGGCTAAAGCGGATGGTGAGTTAACATTCCATAGCTCGACGCTCTTATAACTACCCTTGCGGTCGTCCGTGCTTCTCATGTTTAACCTTTGGACAGAACTAGCAGCCTGGATGCCGCCTACCATGTATAGAAGCACGGATTTAGGCTTGGGGAAGACGGCAACGTTGGGAGCCATTGGCGCACTTGGTGGAGGTGGCGCTTGATCGGTGGGTTGACCCTCACACACCACCTCAATTGAAGGTATTAACTGATCGTAGTGAAATGTCTCATATAACAAACCGATCCTGGTCAAAAATAGTAAAGTGTCATGGGTTTCAAATAACTCTCTTCTATTCAAATTCACAACCTCTATTCGCTGTGCTATACTTCTATACTTCTATTGCGTCTGGTCTTAAACCATCGCTCAAACAGACCGTCTCAAACGAACCTCAAATCTTGGCCCCATAAACCCTCATCAACTCCCCCAGCTCCTTCTTCTCCTTCTCCGCCGGCCTCTCCCCCTCGGGGACACCAAACACCAGCTGCGCCCTTAACTTCCAACTCGCCGGCACATTCCAATTCGCCGCAACCTTCTCATCAATGATAGGATTGTAATGCTGCAAGTTAGCCCCGAACCCCTCCTCCTCCAACGCTACCCAAGCCATCAACTGATGCATCCCACTCGTATGCTCAGACCAAGGCTCGAAGTTCTCCGCATAGAGGGGAAACTTCGCCTTCAGATCCTCAATCACAGGCTGGTCTTCATAGAACAACACGGTGCCATATGCCGCCTTAAACCCGTCCAGCTTCGGTCCCGTCTGCTTGAATGCCTCGGGTCCGATGCGCGCCAATAATACGTCTTTGGTGATGTTCCAGAGTTTCTCATGTTCTTGGTTGAGGAGGAGGATTGTGCGCGTGGTTTGGGAGTTGAATGCGGACGGGGTTTTGTGCATTACTGAGCCGAGGATGGACTGGATTTTGCTGTCCGAGATGGGTGATTCGCGGCGGAGCGCGTAGTAGGATCGCCGGTTAGCCAGGGCGGCGAGGAGGGCTGCGCTACCTTTTGACATTGTGGTTCTATCTGCGCTGTATTGGGATTTGGTGTGGAGGGTGTAACTGCGAAGAAATTGGAATTAGAGGTCTTTGCTGTGTGGTTTTCGTTAGGGACATTGTCGAGTATTTATAGATTTCCAATTTGAACAGATCTCGGATAAATGACGTTATTAATAATTCCGGGGGATCGGGATCCTCAGTAGGCTTTTGTCCGAGTCCCGATTGGCTCTGGAGAATCAAAGGGACGGTTCAATTAGCTTAATAAAACTTATCTATGCTTAAACATCCTTAGGTAACTATGTGTCATGCTTTGTTAGTCAATCTGTTCAAATTCGGTGTGGCCTCAAATACGAGGATGCCATAATCCTTGGTCATCCTTAAAAACAAAGTTAGACTTTAGCCTGGGTGTGGTTTAGTGGACGATGCCGAGGTAAATCCGACCCCGGATATATAGTTCCATCCCAAGACTAGATTATAAATCGATAATAGCGTATCTGCAATTCCCTTGTTGGTACATACCTTTCTTTGCTCCTGGAGAAGACGTATATGATTACGTATAGATTATACCTAGATCACTTTAGAGGTGATCAAGATTCGGATGTCAAGGTTGTAGAATATATAATAATTCACGCAATTCCAATGCTAAAAATCCCACCAAACTGGGTAACATCACGAGGGCGCGTGAGACAATAGTGCCGTCGCAGTTAGAGATCAACCGTCTCATCGAAACACATACACCAATTAGTATTGATCTATTCTATAAGTTATATGGCTGAGGGGAGATAATCAAACCCAGGTACTGGTTGACGTCGGCGACTAATAACTCTAGTGCGTTGAAACACTCCTTAACTCGTAGTAAATAAACGGGTTATCAAGTAAGTCACGCTTCGACATCATAGGGACCCAGGCTCTAATACTGGGCGCCATCATTCAGGAAAAGGTGCAGATTGTGCCCACTTCCTACTCCTAGTACATGCATCGTCCTACCGATTGTGGGCAAGCCACCCGGTCGTGGAGGTAGTTTTTGACAAACGAAAAACCATCCCATTCGACTACCGAAAAATGCCCGGACATCATAGGCGTCCCTATAGGGTAATTTATAGGTCAAGGCTCAGGTTGACAGGTTTCAGGATAGGTGCCATAAGGGTCGAGCGTTTCCCGTTGAAGGAGTCATCAGAATGTGTTCCCGGTCACTCTTCAGGTCCCAGCACAGCATTTGTCACCATGTTCACTGTCGGAGGGTTCGACAGCTCAGCCTTCGCCCAGTCTTTGCAACAGAACAGGTTGAAGGGTGAAACCGTGTCGCCGTCGTCAGGCGGCGTTGGCAACCACAAGTCTTCCGTTGTGAAATGCCAACCTCCGTCCAGACCATTTGGTTTTGTCAACAATATCAATTTATGAAGGGTGCACCCGTTGGCCTTCGTGGATGTCTGTTCGGTATAGAAATCATGCACGCGGACATGCTCGGGGATGATGGCGGCGTCTTCGGTGGCAGCGACCTCCTGCGGATCTAGACACGCTTCTTCGAATTCCATGATTTGTGAAAATACATCATAGTAGTGGCTAACCTCATACCACCATTCTTTTCTCGGCATCCGCCGAAGCAAATCTAATCCTTTGCGACGAAGGCGCGGCCAGCGACACTTCCATGCGACAGCATGGAGGGGGTATAACAAACCGAAATCGAGACATAGTGTCTTTGATAGCTCATCAGGGTAGCGGTCGGGGTCCGACACGATCTTCTCGCCGATGCGGACAATCTCCTCGAAGTCCTTTCGGTGCTCGTCCCAGGCGCATTCGGAGCCCACGCGGTACGTGGTCGTTCCCATTACGGTCGAATACCACATTAGACGAAGGACTTCAGCCGCATCCTGGTCGTTCTTGTTCCACGTTGACCCCTGCCGCCGAACAAGATCATCGAAGTTCACTTTCCAGCGGTCGCGCGTTTGCCGAAGTCCGGTTATTATTGTTAGCAATCCAGCATCTGGTAGCTTTCCTAATTTTAAATTCTGATCCAATAATTGGAATACCCCCGCAGTAGCAGTGACCAAGTCCACCATGGCTACCCTAACTTCACGGAGGCTTTCAAACCGGTCCGTGAGAATAAGCAGACCGGTATCAACTGGGTTCAGTAAGACCTTTCGGCGTGTGCCGGGCTGGAACTCGGAACTGTTGAGATTGAAAAGACTCAGAATCGGGGCCAATTCCGTTTCCACAAAGTACGACTGGAACGAGGAATACCCCTGGCCCCACGGCACCTTCGGCCGACTACCGGTCTTCTCGCGCCATGCCCAGAGGAGATTAATACCGTTCGATATATGCGAGGCTGCGGCGGACGCGTTCCCCCGAAGAAACTCAAAGGCCGTGAACAGAATGCTTGCCACCACGACCGTAGGAATTGCGCCTATATCGGCGGCGTCTTTCTCTATCGTCGAGCGAAGAGCCCGGGTATACAGCTGGATAGCCGGATGGGGGTCGCCACTTGCGGTATTAAACGAGGGGATCAATTTACAACCTCCTTTGTGCTCATGCAGCGAGCCTATTGCAGCGATGGCTTGGCGAATGGCGGGTTCCACCAGACTGAGTTGGAGGACAGTGACTTTCCAGAACGAGCCTTCAAAGAACCCGGACAGCTGGGAGGACGACTTGTGAAAGAAAAATTCCAGCGCGCGTGACTCCGTACTCGACTTGGCAGTCGTGACTGTCAAGAGCGGCTGAGAGATCTTTAATCGCGCGAGCTGCGAAGCATAGCCGTCGCATTTTCGTCCTGTACTTATGCACCTGGGATTGATTGTCAGTCTACGGCCCCATCTAATCTCACTGTCTCTGCTTATGTTAGTCGTACCGAGTGCAGGCGGGCTTGCCTTCGTCACACTTCACTTTCCGGATCCTGCATCGCAGATGTCTTAGCACCGATTATCTCCTTGTTTGAATCTCCGCTCGGGATTAGGTTCCAATAGCCAGTAGCACTAACTTGCAGGTGATACAGCCCGTCCGCACTTTTGGTTTACTCGCCCGCTTTCGTTTTGCTGGAGTTGTCATTTCAGATATAATTAGCAAACCAGAACTCTATGAGACATCTATGTTTTAGAATCGATGTCCTGGCGAAAATACGAGGCGATGATTATCGACGTCTTATATCACGTGATCAAGGGTGCCTACGTCATACCCGTTGCCTATTTTGGGGAACACGATTCGATCGGGACGCCTGAAGACCAGGCGGGAGGGTTACAGTTACATATTAATTTTCCAGTGGAAGATGAGCTAGATCTCAGCCCTAACCATGATTGGCAACAGGTACCGTTGTTCTCATTTGTAGAAGTTGCGTCGTACGAACTAGTAGTATGTATAACCAACGGTCCGTAGAGACGGGATCAGGAGTATACAATCCGGGTCGATATGCAACAGTCTGGATTTAACTATAAGCATGGAGATAGAGTAAAAGTGTCCCCGTCCCGAGGGTCTTAATCCGGACGCTAATCTCAGGCATCTCTTATCTCGATTTGGACTTGAAGTAAGCCTAACAGGATTTGCATCACTGTAGAGTTCACCACCATGGAAAATATTAAACCACTAATCGCCGAGGCGTCCACAGTCACAAAGCCCGATATGACACCACGAGGATCAAATGTGGAGTGGGTTTCAGATGCTTTCATCTTGGTGTCAGTAGCTTTACTATATCAGCCGGCCAAGGCAGGGGTTCCTTTGAGGCCTACGTCGCCGAGAGGAGAAACAATGTACATAGTAGCATCGGGAACCTTGGGCACGAATAGTGATACGCTAAAATCCATCTGGTAGAAAATAATCGGCTTCAGTGGGGCTCCTTCCATTGTCTATATAAGTTGCCGTGCCGTGAAAAGGTGGGATGGAAATGTATCACCGTCGGGTTGACAATGAAACTGTCGGCAATGCTTGACAGACGGGGTATAGCGTGGGCTTTGTATGTCCGCTAAGCCTTCCACTTTGAATCCTCTATCGAGTACTTCGGGTATTTCAAACAGCCAGGGTTGGGTCACACAAAGAAAGCATCCAATAGCTTTAGGCGGGAACACGAAGCTCCTAAACCCCGACAGTAAATTTCCAACAATCAAAGTTTATGCCGACTGTTGACATGGTAGAAGATCGCCAAGGCGGCTCATTAGCTCACCATGAAACCGATACTAGTAAACCCATGTAGAAGGGACAGAGAGCAGTTGTCCCATGCCTTCACAAGATGTAATGACCGACTCGCTTTCGAGTCTCCCATGAACTTCACAATTATGACGTACAGCAGTCCAGCTTCGAGTGGAGAAAAAAGAAATAAAAATTCGTATAGAAAACCAAACGTCCTATGCTCCACGGCAGGCAGGACACATGCAATAATTCGCTCAGAATACTTGACAATCCCAATGCATAGATGCAAATTCATTATTTATCAATCATCGGTAGGCGGTCACGGCGCTCTCTGCCCATAAACGATATGCAGTCGCGAGTACAGATGGAGGGACGTATCGCGCAATTCCTTCCGCATACCTGCCAACAGCGCCTCAATCTCGACCCGTTCCCAACCAAGCTGCCGCGTAAACAGCGCGTAACAATAGGGCGGCATGGCTTCAATCATGTTAACTTGGTGGTAACGACCGAGCTCCTTGAGCTTGGGGTCTTTGGGCCAGGGGCTCTGGGGGAGCTGTTGCCGTTAGCATTTCTTTGTGCATGGACTAGGGCAGAAATATATGTACCTTGTAAACGTCCTCGCGAACATTGACGAAGCCGGCGTTTTCCATCTGCGACCGCCAATTCTTCACAGTGTCGAAATCCTTGCCAAACATCTTAGCACTCAGGTGCATGTGCTTGACTCCGTGCATCATAGACTCTGCTTTGAGATGTGTTTCGTCGTCGGAGAAGCAGTTGACTTCGATCGAGGCAATTTCCATCCAACCACCAGGCTTCAGGTTCTCCAGGGCCTGTTCGAACAGGCGGTTATGATCACGGATGAAGCCTTCTAGTTCACGGCCATGAATGTAGTCGAAAGGCTGGCTGTAAGACCAGGGTGCTTCGAAGTCATCCACCTCGAAGCGGAGGTTGGGAGGGATCCTAATCAATTAGTAACATTCAATAGACCGGGGACACATTGATCATACCAAGACGGTTGAATAGGACTGAGATCGTTTCCTGAGCCGATCAGTCAAAACAGAGTTTCTTTGTAAACAGAACGAGATACCTACCAATCACTTCGGATTCGGGATGTTCGCTGATATCGTCAGTACTCGGCCAATGACTCTCACGTCCGGTCGGACTTACTCTGCAAAATCGATAGCCCAGATTCCAGTTCCGGTACCAATATCCAGGACCCGAGCGGGGTTCTTGATGGGGGCTGCGTGCAGCTCTCCCTTCAAAACCATCCGATAGATGTGGTGACTCTGTTCTTGTTAGTTCGGCCATTCTATCGTTCACCAATGGTTCCACTAGGCGCAACCAACCAAGTCCAGACGGTCTTGTTCTTGTTCATCATTGGGCTATCTCAGTTAGTAGGGTTCCCAAATCAGGCAACGAGACACTCACCAGAATGTATTCACCCTCATGGTACGAATGATATCTGCGGCCATTCTATAAGATACACTTAGTAACCGCCGCAACATCGCGGTTGAGCTAAGAAATACCTCATATCTGTACTGTTAGCCACCAAATCCCAACAGAACTGCGAGCCTGTTACATACTGATAGTTCATAGCACTTGAAGTAATACTGGTGGTATAACTGGCATCTCCCAGTCTACAATTGTCAGCCAGTCGATTTGGGAGAGATAGAACTCTGCCACTTACGATCCTGCATATAAGGAATCACCGTCGCCATCCGAGAAGGTCTAGTAAGTCCAGTTAGCTAGATCCTCCTTCCGGTACTAAGAAGAGAACAAAACCAACATCGGGTTCGATGATACCCTGAATATGTCCCTGCGGTATTTCTGGTTGCGGTTCCGGTTCCGGTTCAGATTGAGGTTGAGGTTGAGGTTGAGGTTGAGGTTGAGGTTGAGGTTGAGGTTGAGCCTGAGGTTCAGGTTCAGGTTCAGGTTGAGGTTCAGGTTCAACTTGTTGTGGTATGCTCTCCGGTGGAGTTTCCTCCCGGGGGCGTTTCAGTGGTGTTGTTTCGCTACGGGATGCCATTCTTGCTCAAGAATTGGGGAACGGCAGCAAGCAATACGAGGACAATTTCAGGGAGAAGGAACAAGTGGGTGATCGTGAAATCGTAGGGATAGAAACCAAAATAATCTGGGGAATAGAAAAATGAAAAAAAGCAAGAAAAGAAAACCTAATCTCCCCACCTACTACTAGCTAATTATAAGAACAATAGTAATAGAATTAATAGCGGTAAAAAAAAAAAAAAACAAATTATTAAACGGGAAAAGAGAAGGGAAAACCGGCAGGAAAGGGGACGAAAAGGTCCTGAAGAACGAGGAATTGTGGTCCCAATCGCAGCGACTCTTAAATCGGACTCGTCGACGGGCAACTCATAGCGGGACCGCCGTTGAAAGATTTGCGGTGTCTCAAAAAGCTGGCCAAGTTTCGCGAAGCAAAGTACAGAAGTCCCCGTTCGGCTCCAGACACTATTCAATCCCATTTCATCATAATATTTACGCCCGTCACTCGTTAGTTCGCATTTGCACGGATGCACCAACAATGTGCCGCGACCGTCGATCGAGGAGGTCTTGTGGCTTCTTTGGGAGGCCAACAGCTTTAGCCGATTGTTAGTCGGCATTAGTGACCGTCTAAGTGATCGGTTAACTGGTTGGTTCGAGGTCCAGTGGATCCACTGGTCGGATCTTTTGCCATTTTTCTTGTGTTCAGGCGTTTTGTCCTTTTTTTTTTTTGATTCCCTTTCCCCTCTCTCTCTCTCTCAATGCCCCCTCGATTAGGGCATAACCGCATCCCCATTCTTTGTATCGAAAAGGGAGACACAAAGGCAACCGTTTTGCCACCTCTGGTTGGGTTGCATAAATGAGAGACTGGATGTCTATTGATATAAATTCGGTAAAAGTATTATATCATAACAAGGGTTAGGTAATAGAGAAAAATTGCCTCCCGGGGTCGGCACCACCTCCACTACCCGCTGTCAGCAATTCCAATCACGCCACGTCACCGTGGTCGAAATTCTTCAGGCTCATGTGGTCCACGAAAGGCCATGGAAAAGAGTCCCGAGCATCTGTAGGGATCGGACTGAGCCGTTTCTCCTGATTCCATGTGGCGGTGGGGGGGGCGTCTTTCTCAATGCACGAATCTTGCGCATAGCGAAGTTATTGACCCTTGCTAGCTCCACAACCCCCTAAATGGATCGATGCATCACATCCTTAAAAGGGCAAGAGCCGTTGCTGCGTTGGCAAATGCGACTCTAAACCCTGTTTGTGTGCACGAACTGAGCACACGGCACTTAAGCAGCTTGAACAGTCTAGAACAAGCTATGAGAGCGAAGGATGGCCCTTTGCAGCTGCCCGCAAGATCCCAAAGTACGAGAAGCCTGACACCCAATCAGGTCCTTGCCTTTCGCTAGTGGGCCCATGATTTCATTGCAATTTCATTACTGCTCGGCGTTCCGTGGTTCGTCGAGTCTGGAACCCGAGTTTAAACCGCACTCGAGATCGGAAGACACGAGGGGAAGAGATCGCAAGTTTGCAAGTCACTTACCTTGCGTTCTGATCTTCAAGACCATCATCGTGATTTTGAGTTTGATAAGATGCCTGTTGGGGATACGTAGAATAGAATTCCATATTACGTATGCCGCGGCTAGATAACGGTCTGTCCTACTCACTGACTCGTTTTGTTTCCCCCTTTGTACACAATCGATTAGATCCTGATTAGGGCTAAAATCCGGCACACACGTAGTGGCGGACTAACGCCTTCTCTCACAAATCTTAGTGTGTTCCTCCCAGAAATCGTGCATAAGATGCATATCCATCTCCTGATCCTGTAGTTGGGCGGGGGCGCCGTCTCTTGGCGTGCGATAATACCTTCCGATATACGAGGGTCATCGGATGAAGGTGGGCGGCTCGTCGGATGTTCCCCGTTTCTCTCAAGGTGCGAGGGCTTGTGCACCTCAACAAGCCTATCACTCTGTCTCGCGTCCTCAGTATCGTCGTATTCATTTCATGCCTCCCTCCTGACAAGCAGTAGCGAAGAATGGTTGGCGTACCGCGCAGCACTGGCTGTCGCGCCTGTCTCCAGCGGCGGGTCAAAGTGGGTGCTCCAATGTTAATCTGCCTCGGCCGTGTTTCCACTCAAGAGAAAAAAAAAAAAAAAATTTAAGAATAAAAATAAGACTTTACAAAAAAAAAGAAAATTTCAAAATCAAAAGAACAATGAAAATCATATCGAAGCGGAAAATGCCCATCCTAATGAAAAAATAGTGCGATCAAACCCGACCAGAATGTCTACGCTGCCAAAAGCGAAAAATAACCTGCCCTGGTTACCAGAAGAGATTCCAATTCTACCATAAAACCGCCCCGGCCGTCGTTAAATCCACCCGCACTTCCGAATTCGACGACGTACGTCCATCTAAACCGACGCTGAAAGGATATCACCACCAGCAGGCACTCGTGCTCGGCCGGCCTACAATCGACCAATCCTTCACACGTAACTTGACGGCGACCGCTCTGGACACACAGCTTAAAGAAGTCTTCTCCGATGTCGTCTACGCTGTCTTCCCGAACTTGTATGCCGCATTCTCTGCCCGTGTCGATCTCACCTGGGTCGACTTTGTCCGACATCATTCCGCTGCGCAATCAAGCGCCGTTAATTGGGGTATTCGTTGTTTGAACACCTGGTTCTTGGCGCGACGACATCACGACCATGACCAGCTACAGGCGAGCCGACACATGTATAACCGGGCGTTGCGGTGTCTAGCCCAGTCCCTGCGCGATCCCGTTCGCGTCAAATCGGATGACACCCTGGCTGCAGCGATCGCACTCGGCGTATACGAAGTACTGGACGGTGTAGGATCGAATTCATGGCTGGTGCATTCGCGCGGAATCGGGGCGTTGTTCCGATTGCGTGGGCCGGATGCCCATCGCTCAGGCTTCGGGCGTACCATGTACACCACATACCGGGCGTTTCTAGTCGCAGAAGCCTTTACTTGCCAGGAGCCATGCTTTCTTGAAAGCGAGGAGTGGCGGGCGATGAATCGGGAGGCATTACTAACGGAGGAACGCGACGGGAAGGGCAGCCGACTGGGCGAGATCACCGAGAATGCGTTCGAGGAAGTCTTACTCTGTCCGGGGTACCTCGTGCGCACCCGCGATGTGATTGCTCGGAACGCGTCCGAGTCATCGAGGGAGTCCCTCGCCGCGGAGATTCGTTGCAGCCGAGACCTCTTGCGAGGTTTGCAACGACGGCTGGCTGCGCTATTGGAGCTTCAGATGAACAGTCAGACGGTGCAGAAGAGAAATCCTCTAAACGGTTCTATCCCGAAACAGTTTGTGCACACCATTGCGCATAGATCGTTGCGGGGTATGGACTCAGCGTTAGCACTCCTTGACCAGCTTCTCGTGCTGCTTAATGCTAGCAAAGTCCGGATGCTGGGTTCTGATGAGAATAATCCCACTCAGAGTCCCTGGAACACGGTCACGTATCAACCAGCTCCGGAAGGTGCAATATCCGTGACCGTCGAGGGCACTAGTGGCACTAGCGAGGTGAAACCCCTCGATTGGCTTGATCAGCTTGCATTGTCCATGGGGACTCTTGCGCTGAAAACCTGACGAACTCTTAGCTCGTCATTTGGACCAGGTCGTCGGCTGTGTGCATGGCCATGTCGACCAGGATCAGACTTCTTATTTGCTCACCCGGTGAATCAAGCCTGTCAGCATGGCTCTCCCGTGTTTTCGTTCAACTAAACATTACTGCACACGTTATCCCCGCAACTTGGAATGCGGGACAAAATCTCGTATGTGGAACCGATGCCCCGGAGTGGTTATTCCAGGTCTCGGTCGCTTTCAACAAGGCATAAACGTTCCTCTGCCGAATGGCGTTCATCGTAACCGAGCGTGAACATCAAACTTTGCCCCGTATGTAAAGTTAGTCAAGATGGAAATCAGCTAAATGGGCATACAGTCATATATGCAGTAGCTCATCGCACAAACAGACATCCTTACATACGGGGCGTTGAATGGTTTGGACGCACACCCGCAACATTTCCTTGGCAATTTCAGCCCAGAGAAAAATACACGAATATCTGGCTCTTCTATTCTAATTTTTATAATGTGTACCGTTGCAGTCGTCTATCTCAATGGAAAAAAAAAAATAAGAAATTAAGAAAAATACTGGTAGGCAAATAGTGAAATCGAGAAAGTACCTTGAGGTTGTAGTTCCTTTTTTAGATCGGTCCTCGGCAACAGACTGGAAGTTATATATTTTGGGAAACTACTACGTCTACCCTCTACTGCATGTAGATAAGGAACCCTATCAAAACACCAGAAACCTCAGATAACAATAGAGAGTATAAATGATTTAAGTCTGGTTTCCCGGATCCGCGCAATCCTCAGAAATTTAGTCTTATGGGAAACCTTTACCCAATTATACCTCCCGTAGTCAACATAGTCAACAGGAGCTACCTCGTATCCACATTAACCCGACCAATGGGAACGGAAATCAGGGCCTACACCATGGAGTTCATACAGACGTTACTGAAGCGGGTGGTAGTAGGAAGATTGCCGAATATGATTTGAAATGCCGAAGGGGGTAGAGTTTTATTTGCCAGAGTGGCGCTGCACGTACTTTTGTCACCTCGGATGAGGCCAATGATATTTTGCGAGAGCAACACAAGACTTCCCTCCCTGCAGGTGTTGTTACTTTCCCGGCAATGATTGGCTTAGATGAGGTGTTGGATATGCCAACTACTGTCAATCGACGGAATAGCCATCTTGGACCTATAATCGGGCCACTTGCGGTCAGGCGAGGTGGACCATTACGAACACACATTACGAGGGATAGATGCGGGTAATGGCGGTCGGAAGTGCATGAACATCGAGACTAGGGGGCGAATGCTTAGATGTGCCAATGAAACTGAATTGATAACGAAGATCAAGAGATTGTGGGGACTTTCTCGATATGTGAGACACGTAAACGATATCTAACTGCCTGGGTCGTGTACCCGGTTGGACAGCATATGTACACTAAACTCCAGCTGGGTCGGAAATAGCCGTGACTGGATATCGGTATCCCAAACAGCGCAAAGATCAAGCACTAATACGGCTCCCTTCTCCCTTCTTTGGCATCCGCGGCAGCCCTAACCACAGCAAGAGAATACCACCGGACAAGCCAATGATGAAAGGTTGGAGAACCTCGACTCCTCGTGCCTGTGCAATAGCGCCGACTGCAAAGGGTAGGACAGCTGCACCCCCTCCTCCAAATGCAGCCGCAAATCCAATGGCGCTGACATGCTGCGACTTGGGAAGAAGCTTGGTAGCTACGACCACGACAGCAGGGAAGAAGGGACCAAGAAAAAAGCCTTGGAGGGAGACTGCCACCGCCGATGCATAAAAATTGGGCACAAGCCAGAGAATTAGGCCCAGTCCAATTGCGAGGAGGGAGTATACCTGTCAACGTTGTTAGCGGCGATGTGACTGTAAGCAAAACATGTGACGTACGACGATAGAGACCTTCTCCCCAATTCGCGGCGTCACGAAGCCTAATACCACCCGGCCCACGGTTAATCCTAGCCAAAATCCGGTAGCGGTCATACCGCTGGCAAATGCTTCTCCGTTGCGGATTTGCATCATGAATGTGACGATCCATCCCCCGAGTGCAACTTCAATTCCTACATAACCAAGAAGGAAAAATGCACACAGCCAAGTTACCCGCGCATACGTCTTCTTGAAAAGAACTTGACGGAGACCACTTTTGCTTTCATCGGCGCGAGCGTCCTCGGCAGGTGTACCGGGAGAGTCCCAGAAAACTGTGAGAAGGAAGGCAAATTCGAGCGCCGCGCAGCCAATCTATGACTATTAGCGATTGATTGGCAGTTGGCTAGGTTTCAGCATACCATGATATAATAGAAGTAATACCATTCTAGATGGGCTTTCGTAATCAAGGAAGTGGCTATTAAAGGGCTTAATACTCCGCCAGCACCATAAAAACCGTGTAGTAGTCCAAGGAGCTGATTTGCATTGGCCATATCCCCAAGCCACGCATTCCACGCGGCATCGCCAAGTCCATTGCCAAAGCCCGCAAAGATGAATGACACAACCAAGACCGGATATGGGGGGTGCAGACAGTTGACAGTATACGCAATGAGATGGCACCCAGGAGCCAACCATGCAACGCCGCGACGGCCAAGCTTGGCATGGATTCTATTGTTCAAACAAGCAGCCAGAGTATAGCCACCAAGTGGTGAGAAGAATACAAGCGACACAACCGTGTAAGATAAATTGTAGTAAGATTCAAGCTGCATATTCTTAGCATTGATCAAAAACGTCTACTTAGCATGTAGGGAGACTGACGTAAGGTATCAAAGGCTATCAATGTCAGCAGCTATGAATTATATGGGAAGTTATGAGATCGCTCACTCCATACGCAGCGTCATTCATGCCCATTACCAGGAAGCTCCAGTATGTGGCCAAGGTTTTGAGTATGTTGGACCGGGGATGGTTCCATCGCTCTGCCTGATGGATTATCTGGGGAGGCTCCTGCGTTGACATTTCAAACGACGGTTGCTCTTCCCGATTGTTGGAAACGGTGCCATCCGTGGTCGCCATCTTTTTGGGCTACGAATCCGACCGTGAGGCGAAGAGATCAGTTGACAATTGAATCCGATGGACTGTATCTCTATCATCGTAAGGACGAGATCGTTCTCTCCCCACAAATGCCAAGTGCCAAGATGAACAACTTGGACCTTTAGACCATGACGTCAAACCGGCTAAACTTCGGGAAGTCCACGGGGAATTACTTCGCAACGATGTGTATGTTTGACCGAAGCAGTGGTTATTGAAAGGCTAAGGAAGATGCTTTGCTTGAGAACCGTTCACCTGCACATCAGTCCTCCGGCATTAAGGGAAATAATCGATAACAATGGTGATACAGCGTCTCCCGATTCAATGAGATATATATTGGCTTGAAAACTTGGTCTTGGCATCTGGAGGGTAACAACTCGTTGTTCGTGTGGTACAGGGCTTGGTAAACCAGGTAACCAGAATGTAGGGCTGCTAGTCCTTGAGAGCCATTATCAAACGCATCGGAAATCGGTACGTATATTGCGCAGGTAATCTACAAAGTCGGGCTCTTCCATACACTGACCCTGAGAAGGCGGACGTTCGCGCGCTTGTTGTCGCGAGAGCGTGCCTCCGATGTAGGAATTCTTCTCCGTCCAAAGTCATAAAGTCGGTAATCATGTTCTCCAGAATCCCCGAATAAACAAGGAATCTGATCTACGAAGCAAGTCGTCCGAGGGTGTCACCGGGCATCGACGATCGATGACACCTCATTTTCCCGCTGGAGGTGTCCGAAAGGAATTTGTGCTATAACCGTGGTGTTGATTGACTTTGCAAAGTCCCTTGATAATATCAGAGCATCGCACAATCGGTTTCATACCACAGGGGGTGCCAAGGCTTTCCTTTCACGGTCGGGATAGTGTTATTGACAAGATGACGTCGGATTTTGATAGTGACTCCGGACTCTTTCGCGGAGTTCAGCTTATTGAGTGTTTCCGATTTCTTCCATATTGTGTCGGATGTACACGAGGAGTACCTTGTGCAGTCAGTCGCCCAATAGTGGCTGGTCTTGATCCTGTCTCGAGCGAGGCCGGTTTCATGTCTCCGGCAACGTGGATGAGGAATCTTCCCAGATGTCAAAAATAGCAGACGAGCTCGGGGATACGTAGGAGGATGGCCCGGACCAACCGGGGGATAATATATCACCATTGATGTGGCTGTGATGGATCCACTTGTACCTGAGCATCGGGTTATGCGTTTATCGATACGGAGTACACAGTACGGTTTCTGCAAGGGACAGTGCGATCTCACGTGGGTCAAGTCTCATTAGAGCAATCCTTTCCAGGTCCTACTCTGATATTCAATGGGTTGGTGACATTGGAGAATAGCGGGTCTGACTCAGTCTGGCAAAAAAGACGATTGTTTTGGATGGTTTCTTCCTGCGTTTGAACTTCAGGGTCGACTTGGGAAATGATTCACCGAGGCAGTTGCTAATTGTAGTAGTGGTACCGGGGTTGTGATGCCATGTGCATCGTGGGACTAGTGCAATAATACAGGAACATACATGTTTCCGAGAGTTTCGGAGGTCCTCAGATGCCATTGACTAAGAACAAGACCAGACATTGGATGTCTTGGTTCTTGGTCTGGCCGAGGATACCGGAAGCGGAAAGCGGAAGTGTGCGGACAAAAGTCAGGTGAAAGGAAGATCACATGTTACACAGGGCGTTTCCCCCAGCCTTCCAGGATGTTTTGACTTCTTGACTCCCCTGACAGGGCCAGGAGTAGTAGTACTGTGTACTGTGTAGGTTACAGTTTGTACCTGTTCGGATGTCAGGTACCTGTTGATCATTGATGTAATGGTTGACGAAGGTATGTTCCGGATCTGGTAATGATGCAAATGAATGAAGGATAATCACTGGAAAGACGGGACAATCCTGGGACAATCCTTGTAGTCCAGAATGGTCTGTTTGTCAGGTACGGAACAGGAACAACCAATGGTGAATGTGGATGCCTAATAAGTGTGAGGGCATCGCCACAGCCATGACCCCGTGCTTGCGTGGCCCATTTTTCTGATTGAGGGTTTTTCAACCATGATTGGTCATTAGTAAGAGCCAAGCCTTGGGTTTGCTGCATTAGTCGAAGCTTGGCTTGCCGAAAGCCAATCAAAGCAAAGCATGACGGAACAAATTGGGGAAGAAACGTCATGAATGACCCGATACGGCCGCGTCACAGTCTCACAAAAACCAGCGCACTCAAGCAACGATCGCCATTGGTGGCCGTTGCGTGATTTCGGTTCTAAAATAAACCAAAAAACCCCAAAAAAAGAAAAAAAAGAGAGCAAAAAAGGAACCACCCAGGTGACGGCCGATTTAAGCGACAAAAGACCGTCAGGGGTCTAGACGGACCTCAATCCATCATTAGATTTGGAACTGTCAGTTGAAGACACTCTGCTGTTACTCAGAGAACGTCCGACAGCGTCTTGATCCCCACACTCTCTTTCTATATATTTCTATAAGTTCGACCGTACCTGCATACCTTTCATTTACCTATCCCAACACTCAAAAACTTTCAATTGAATACTTCCCAAGTCACACACAATGGCATCCAGCGCTGCAAGTGAGCGGACCGAGTCAGTCTCCTCCCACAGCTACAAGAAGTCCCTCTCCAATAAGGCCGACCCCAATGCTGCCCTGAGAGAAGAGCAACCGAGTAAGTACATTATGTGTTTCAATGTGGTGGCGAACTCGCGGCTAACCGAGGTAGTTGCCAATGCCATCGGTGGTACATCCTTGTTCTCCTTGCGATCCATGCAGCATCGCGATGCAAAAGGCGAGATTATCAGTAAGTGTGCGCACCAACCCTAATCCTTGTTCCATGGCTAACCTCTCTCTTTAGCCGATCCGGATCGCTCCAACCCGACTCGCCCCCGACTGGAACGACCGCTCGATACTATCCGTAGCTTTGAGGCGGCCATTGAGGCACGCCGACGAGAGAATGCCATGTGATAGATAGAAACTGGGAGTCGGGATTGGTGTTCTTTTGGGAATTGCTTTGTTTTCTTTTTTTTTTTTCGAGAATGATCTGATGGGAATGGTTGATTGAGCGATTGTCTGTATGAATATTATGACTGGGACCGTGTGAATATTATATTATTTTTAGTGACCTGAAGATCTCAAATATTGGGCCAATGGATCGTATTCTCACCGACTTAAAGTATTAAAGATTAATTTAAATTAATCTAGGCAACCATTGAAGCTCAAAAGAAAACATATTTGGAAATTCTGATGGTCTCCACTGTGCATGAAATCCGACGGATAAGAATTTAAATTCTCTGCTCGGAGATAAGGCCAAATCCACTCGGCATCCACATCCGCACTATCTAGTGATGCGCCGGCAGTTACCATCGTCGTCCCACTCCGTCGTTCTATCCAATCTAAGAGCGACGGTGAAGATCCGCTGCTCCATGTCTAACGACATTAATGGCGAGCTAAGCTTTTGAGGCATAGACCGAACTGCACAATACAAGCGACACCGTGGCTGGTGACGCGTTCGATGCTGTATAGCGGGGCGGTCCTCCTGGCTTGTCGACGGCGGATAAAGCATAATGAGACGTTGCTATTAATACCAGATGGCAGAGTCTGCGGCGAGAATTTAACAGGGGCAGCTGTCCTTTTCTCTCTCTCCCAGACTGTTTGGAGCGTTGTTGTTATTGCCAGTCGCTCTTTTCGTATCTATACATACATTCCTGACGTTCGTTATATACCATCGTTTTCTCATCACTAATTCCAATACACCAACAAGCCTTCCTGTTCTACACGACGATGAAGCTTTCGTGGGCAGTGGGAGCGGCCCTGTTGGGCACCGCTGTGGCCGATGTCGACCCCATCATCATCAAGGGCTCCAAGTTCTTCTACTCGAGTAACAATACCCAATTGTAAGTCTCTGACCCTCACCCCGGGGCTCATCTTATATTCTCGCTAACCATGTCAGTTATATCCGTGGTGTTGCCTATCAACGTAGGTCTCTCGAAAGTCTTCTCCCTACTTATAGCTACTGACCATCGCAGAGGACTACTCCAGCAACGGTACCACCAATGGCTCTAACAGCTACAAGGATCCCTTGGCCGATGCTACAGCCTGCAAGCGTGACGTGCCCATCATGCAGGAACTAAACACAAACACCATTCGGGTCTACGCCATTGACCCGACCGCCAACCACACCGTATGCATGCAGTTGCTGGCCGATGCAGGCATCTACGTGGTCTCGGATCTATCTGATCCCACCCAGTCCATCGACCGGAGCGATCCCACCTGGGAGACTACTCTCTACTCTCGTTACACATCGGTCATTGATGAGATGGCTCAGTATAAGAACACCTTGGGCTTCTTTGCGGGTAACGAAGTCTCCAACACAGTCGGTACGACGGATGCCAGCGCGTTTGTCAAGGCGGCTGTCCGTGACATGAAATCCTACATCAAGCAGAAAGGCTACCGCACCATGGGTGTGGGATACGCCACTAACGATGACTCTGATATCCGTGTGAACATGGCCGACTACTTTAATTGTGAAAGCGAAGAAGATAGCATCGACTTCTGGGGCTATAACATCTACTCCTGGTGCGGTGACTCGTCGTACTCCGCCTCTGGCTACAAGGACCGCACGGAAGAGTTCGCCAACTACTCTGTCCCTGTCTTCTTCGCGGAGTATGGTTGTAACGAGGTCCAGCCTCGTCAGTTCACCGAAGTCGATGCCCTGTTTGGTGACAAGATGAATGGCGTATGGTCTGGTGGTATTGTCTACATGTACTTCCAAGAAACCAACGATTACGGTAGGATTTCCAGTTAGACCGAACTCCACGGCCACTAATTCCATCTGTATAGGTCTTGTGTCTATCGTCGACAGCACCAGTGTCAGCAAGCTTGCCGACTTCACCTCCTACTCGAAGCACATCGCCAGCGCCACCCCCTCTGGTGTGAACAAGGCCTCCTACACGCCTACCAACACTGCCCTGCAGAGCTGCCCGGCTGTCAACAGCGCCTGGAGAGCCACCCAGACCCCCTTGCCTCCTACCCCGAACGAGAACCTGTGTGAGTGCATGTCTGATGCCGCCGCTTGTGTCGTGAAGGACTCCGTCTCTAGTGACGACTATGCCGACCTGTTCTCTCTGGTCTGCGGGTACACTACTTGCACGGGCGTGTCCCGCAACGGCACCACCGGAAACTACGGCGCCTATGGCATGTGCAGCCCCAAGCATCAGCTCAACTTCCTCCTCAACAAGTACTACACCGAGCAGAACTCTGCTGCATCGGCCTGTAGCTTTGGTGGCTCGGCCACGGTGACCTCGACCACTAAGGCGATCGGCACTTGCTCCAGCCTGATGAGCCAGGCTGGTACTGCCGGTACGGGTACCGTCACTTCTCAACCCACCGGTACCTCGGGATCGGGCTCGTCTGCTTCTTCTTCCACCTCTTCCGGTTTGGCTCCTACCACGGGTAGCACTATGGTGGCGGTTGGATCTGTTCAGCTGGGCGCGTACATTGTGACTGCTGTGTGCGCTGCATTATTTATGATTATGCTGTAGATTGGTTGGATAGATACGCGGATTTTGCTTTTAAACTCACTTTAGTCGCTCCTTAGCTTTTCTTGTATAATAGATCGTTTACATCTTAGTGGACGCATCTAGCAATTTTGCGATCTCTGACCAACACAAAATATCGCTGTATTCATTGACATTTGGCAGAGCTCTGAGAATAATCGCTATTCACATTCTAACGACCTCATGATGCCACTAAAGGATAGCAACGATAATGCAGAACGAAAAAAAAAGATAGAACATAGCCTTCCAGGAAATGGGCACCTAACTTTAGTCTAGGGTTAATACACTAAAGTAGAGCGCAACATAGCAAGTGACAAATCCTGGATGTAATCGTGTGTTTAGAAGATATGATATCAGAAACCTGGAATTAAAGCTAAAGATATTCCCTACTTTCCACGATAAAGTACTTTGAAGCCTCGTTCTTGGAGACGTGAGCTATGTCTGGCGTTCGCCTTTCTCGCGTGTCAAAAACGTATGCGCTTCTGTCGTGCCATCAATTTTCTCTTCTCTGCTCGCATGTCCCAATTTGTCTCTTCTGGCCAAAACTTGTCGGACGCATTTGTGAACGGCACGGTCAAACTCTTCTTTGTCTCTGTTCTTAAGTTGCCATGTCCAATGTCTCAGTTTAGTAACATCATCACTGTTCACTAACCCCGGCAGCATTAGCACAATTTCTCCATCCTCCATGGCTTCTAGTATTTCTGGATAAAACAGACACTTCCCTTCTATACTTTCTCAAGAAAGACTTCGTGGCGTCTCGAAACTTCCAACCTTCGTTTGTTCTTTACAGGAATGACAGCAAACCAGACATGTCCGGTTTTCAGGCTCAGATGAGGATGAAATCATCTTGATACCTTTTCCACAAGGCTTCGAGTCTAGGGTCATCTTGCGCGGGCTCTGCTGAATGTTCAATCAACCATATCAGTAACGTCGCCATAATCTCGCAACATCTCGTTTCACTCTCGGGAAACTCAGCACACATTCCCTCGCCTTCTTTATCCTTGGGGTAGACTGCCGAGACAAAGGCTCTATTATTTGCAACCTAAACTTTGGTGAGGATTGAGGTGCTTCCGGTTGGAATTCGAGGAAAGCCCATTTTATTGGTCCTACAGTAGCAGCTCGTTCGGAATAGTGCTCAAGGGGAAGTGACTATAGAAAAGTGCAAAGCACTGGGAGTTACGTGGATTGTGAACCACAGATTGGTTTGGGAAGCAATGCAAAGATAATATATAGACTATCATGACTCCACCTTCATACGATTCCGGATTGTATTTTTGAAAGCGGGATAGGGGCTCTCATTGTGGCAGTTGAATTCCGGATATGTTATTCATGCCTACGGAGAGCGCCCATATTGTTAGCCGATCGTTTCCGGGGTTTGAAGTCTAGGTTTCTTGAATTTTGGCGCCTATGGGGACATTCCGTTAGTGTCATTGATAGGATAGTCTGATTGCGGACAGAATGTCTTCATTGTTCTGTACTACCTGATGTGAATTCTGAATGGGTTGCACGGGATGTAGGATGTGTAAGAATTATTATTGATGGGGGCGTTTGACTAGAGGGAATAATGGCTTTGTTACGGTCCAGATTGTGTGTGTGACCGAGAAGAAATGGTGGTCCCTATTCATTAGCAAGGGGAAGCCTTTATAATGTGGATGATATTGCTGGCAGCAGATGTTTGAGAAATAACACCGTATAGAAGATGATACTAGGACAGTCATTGTTCATCCTTGCATAGATGCTTTCTATTTTGTGTGTTGTGTTCAGCTACTGCAATGCTATATCGATGTTGTAAAAATGTTGAAGGTATTGTAGCCTTATAGAACAGGTTCAGCTCTTGAGAAAACTATGTAATCTACATACAAAGGATTGATTTCATTGTGTGCGAGATCACGTAGTTGCATAGGGCCTTCAGGCTTCAGGCACCCACAGATGTCGATTTCCCGAAGAAAGCATGACTATATGAAATTTATTCTTAGGGCACAAAACAGCGGTCTAACAGGGGAATTGGGTGCCCATTTATTCTACTTCTTTTGGCAGGCAGAATATTCTATGGTCTAGTGAAAGTTCGGAAACTAATTGATTTCCCATGTTTCTTGAGTCCTTGATAGGAGAAATAAAAACAACGCAAAGCATGCTCTCAAGTAAATAAAACAGACAAATGGATTGCGCCTTCGCAAGCCCAGCGTAGACGAATACATTCTGAGGGTCGAGAACCAATGTCCACAGCTGGGTTGGATAAACTTGTCCAGGCATCAATGTGACTCAGTTCCATTGTGCTTCATCCCCTTGTGGGCTCGCGCATCCATAGCCCGTTTGGACACAACATAATATCCCCTTCGACAGCGCCGTAGTTCGCGGAAGTAGAATTCAAGATTGGCACCACCTTCCTTGGTCCTCAAACTTTCCCGTACCGATTTCAAAATGTCATCATCAGTATGGCCCTTTTCGACCTTTACCCTAGCCAGAACATAGCCTTTATACAAAGAAGTAGGTTGCCTATTTGACGCTCCCTTGGGACTTATAAGACGTGCAGTGTTCTCCTTGAATGCATTAAGCACAACCTTCCTTGCTTCCTGTCGATCAAAGCGTGTTACCTGGTGCGTTTCATATGGAACGAGCACATAGAATGTTTTAGAATGAGGATTGTATGGTTTTGACTGGGGCCCATGTGTCTCGTGGGTTTGATTCTCACAGTCTCTAGATTTCCGTTTGGTCTCTTGAAAGCTGCGGTAGCAATTGTTGGCACTTTCACCAACCTCGAAAACATGGTTGATCGCTTTAACACCATGCTTCAGTCCCTTAAGCAAATCGGTGATCATTTCAACTTTTTTCGATGCTAGCATTGTGAAACGGGGAACGGCTTCGGTGGAATATTTATTGAAATATGATGTCTCGGATCCTAGAGTAAAAGAAGAAGTGCTGACGGGACTCACATATGGGATGAGGAAGGATTCTTATAGCCAACTTTGGCTTCGCCGATTCAACTAGGCCCCGGAGCCCATTGCATACCCCAGCTACTGCGATGTGTATGGGGCGCCTTTTTCCTGCATGAAAGCCACCGGTGGGCGATATATTTGTTGAAATTGGCGGCACGCTGCGACGTACTAATCTGTACTGCATGGATTATTGTAAGTAGGACCTGGATTCCCAGACACGTCATTCGGCCATATTAGTTTCAGTGACATGGTATTTGCTATGGCGTTGAGCGCAATGCAATGCTTCACTAAACCGGAACCTGCACTTTGGGATGTGCCGATCTAACCAGATGTCCACAGCTGAGTAGGAATAGCCCGGTGCCAGCACCATAATCCATGTATCAATGCATCATTACGGCTTGATATCAAATCGAGTCCTGACATGAGGGGAGGTATGGAGATATCCTATTCGGTGGCAATCTCATGTACGCAGCCATACCACCCAGCCTATTGGCTCAGGACTCATTATTCTGTAACAAGCCAAACGCTATATGTGGCTGGTCATCGTGTGTAATCAATGATTCTCTAGCTTTTACCTTTGCAATTCATACGGGTCTGACCTTATAACCGTTTTAACCAGTTCAAATCAAGGGGCAAAGGAGAGAGATAATTATATTCATCAAATATCCACTAGAGGTATATCTCTAGGGCAACTGTCTGAGAACTGCATGATGGAGGTCTCCTAGATAGGTCGGTATTTTGTATGTTTCATTCATTATTTGGTACCTTTGTCTAGAGTATACACAGGCAGCCTACCAGGATATCTGAAACAGTTAAACTTGGCTGGTGATTACCTAACAAAGAAAACACAAGACATCGAGGAGATGTCCACTCTCCTTGAGACTTGTTCCAGGTGTCGACTATTGAGTGTATGGGCTACTGGCCTTGCCAACCGTCACATCAGATGCGACACCAGCTTGGAAGATTACTTTAGAATGAAGCTTTTCTCCCATTCTCATATTTGCCCTCGTGGCGTGTATGAGATTTTGTATCGCCTGTCGGATCCTTCTACAAATTGGTCGTTGCTTGTCAGGAAATATGTTGACAAGACATAGGTCGTCGCTGCAACAAGACTCCCACTCTGGAGTCATGCCCAAGCCATGTATCTTATTCTAGTTCCACAGAGAATTATACCTTTAATTTTTCCGGGCGACCCAAAACTGCGCCTGATATGCATTCTTGCTCAGTCCCTTCCCATTCCGGGCGTAGGCCACTTCCTTGCCACGAACTGCCATCCCAGGTATTGTTATATCCCCACAAGATGCGTCCGTCTCCTGAAACTTGAATCCGAGGTGTTCGGTTAAAGCTATAATCTCATCCAGCGACAGCTGCAAAAAGGGCGCACTTCCGTATAACAACGGACCTAGATTGATCCACTTGCCCCCGGGGCGGAGTAACCGATGGATATTCTCAAAATAAGAAACCAAGTTCCGCGCAGTATCGATGAAGAACAGCGTGACGATCACGTCATACTTCCCCGCATCTTCTGCAAATACGGTAGTAAAGTCGCCTTCTACCAGGAGGACAGAGGGACTAACCAATGTATCCGGAAACGAGACGGAACGCTGCAAATCAGCAGTTGTCACTTGATGTGACCACCAGTCGATATATGGATGGAAAATCTTGCCGTTGGCGCTCGACAGGCTGGATAGATATCGATATGCGAGGTTCATGTACATGGACCATTCGTTCATGGTTACCTCGAAGCCTGTTTTGATTAGTCCATCTCGATGATCGTTTGGTTGCAGCTGAAGCAAACTCACCACCTAATACATTAACCTCATGCGCCAGTCGTCCCAGTCCTGCTCCGGGCAATAACACTCGCAACGGTTGCTCGGATGTTCTCGACATATTCGCAAGAGTACCTAGAACACACGGAAATGCGTCCTGCCGCTCCTCGTATCCTTCATCGGCCCAATCGCGCACGAAATGCTTCATTGCCTGAGAGACGCTCGTTTTGTCGGTATTGACACCCTTCTTCTCGTTCTCCTTGATGAACTGGTCCAATTCAGTTTGGGAAATGTTATAGAATTGTTTCCCATGCTTGACAATCTCATGCGCCAATTGCTCATTTGTCTCGAAAAGGTGTTCCACGGTATTCAGCTTCCGGGTATATTTCACCGTGGATTCAACAATCTACCCAGTGGTCAGTATCGGATACGATGGGTTTGTACGGGACCGCATACCGAGCGCTGTTTTTTGGGGATTTTCTTATACCAATCCCGCCATCGCTTTGTTTCGGCTAGATTGCGCTCTTTGTAGCGATGGAAGGCATGAAGAGCTGTGAGCAATCTCTGTCGAGGATGTGATGTATCCCATGATCCGGTGGAGCGTTGAAGACGGCTTTGTAGTCGCGAGTATTCCTCTTGCTGGCGTGACTCGCTCGGGTCGATGATGGTGATGTTTGTCACGAAGACGTGTGTTACGCCTAATTCGGCATCGTATTGTGGAATTATGTCCTTTGCCCATGCAAGGCAGAAAATATAGAAAAATAGTAGAATGCTGTGCATTGTTCTACATATGCAGACCACTTCTTATTACAAAGATATAAAAAAAAAAATTATTTGTATTTTCTTCTATTGTCAATACTCTTCATGCATTGCAAGCATTTGCTTTAATATGGCGTGGTTCCATATTAAACAATCGATATAATTGAATACTATCTACAAAGAAAAAAAAAAAAAAAAGAAATAAACTGAAAATAAAAAAAGAGTGGGAGACCGCATGGTCAAAAATCTCGAATCCACGTCCCCGAAGGTCCTCAAATCCAGAGTCGTTTGAGCATTGCCAAGTCCGACGGGCTGGTTTGGTCGTATTGGCACCGAAGAGTCATGGTTTGATACTAGTAGCTGACTAAATTTATCTGCTACTGGTGGTAGGTCTGTCAATAGCATGATTTTCGTTTGATTCAAAGAGATTTGACTGTTGCTTTCTGGTATAGTGTGGCCCGGCAGGTGTTCAGAGTTAGTGGTCGTACGGGCAGAAGCGCAGACTTTCTGTGATAGTGAAGTTGCAAGTCATGTGAGCCGCCCTGTAGCTGTAGGCATCTTCCTTTATTACATACAGCTGGTTCGGAACGTCATCATCTTGCAATCATGGGTAGTACACACAAGAGCATTGCCTGATATATAAGGTCTGCTGCGTATACTTGGACTCGGAGTTACTCCATCGGAAGTACGGAAATAAGGAATAAATGGGTGTTGAAAAGAGTCCCACACTGTCCCCGCATTGATTTCATGAATTGAATCTCACCCGCAAGATCCGAGGTGGGACACGGAAGCCCATCCCGATACCCCAATAAATAGGGATTTGAATCCAGCGTCCGAACTGTCTTTGGCCCTCATTTTCAACAAATACAATTCAAACCGTCAAAATGTCCTGGACACACCTTATCCGCTTCATTGCCGTCGAAGATAGCCAAGAGCATCTTGGCCAGTTAGTCGACACAACTCGCGACATTGGCAAAGATAGCGTCAATGGCGTGAACATCGCGGCGTATCTTATCGATGGGACGATCTTTGACGGGCGCGTATCCACGACCGTGATGCACGTTAAGCAGGTAAGGGCCTCATCTGCTAGCGGACTCTCGTTGAGAAGGCATACTAACAAGATCGAGTAGCTTCTCTCCCCAATCACCAAAGAACAATGCAGTTACATCCGTTGTCTGGGTCTGAACTATCTCGACCACGCCAGAGAAGCCAACATGGCGCTCCCCACGGTTCCCGTTATGTTCACTAAGCCCCGCACTGCATTGGCCAACCCGTACCCCGCTACGATTAATATCCCTAAGTGCGCCCAAGATGAAACGAGTGATTACGAGGCAGAACTCTGTGTCGTGATTGGGAAGACAGGCCGTGATATCCCGGAAGAGGAAGCGCTGGATTATGTTCTGGGTTATACAGCGTCTAACGACGTTTCGGCAAGGGCACTGCAATTCGCGACTTCGCAGTGGTCGTTTTCTAAGGGCCTGGATGGGAGTTGCCCTGTCGGTATGTTCTTTGTCTACTTCTCTCTTGCTTTCTAGATCCTTCTTGTGCTTTGTCTAGAGGGTCCTGCCACTGACCAGTATAGGACCCGTCCTCGTCTCATCTTCTGTCATCAAGGACCCGCAGACGTTGTTCATTAAGGCGATCCATAATGGGAATGTCCTGCAGAATGGCCATACGAAGGAAATGCTGTTTTCGATCAAGAAGCAGATCTCCTATCTGTCTCAGGGCACGACGCTGGAAGCAGGCACAATTTTTCTGACAGGAACTCCGGCTGGAATTGGATTCACCCGGGAACCCAGAATTGTGCTGAAGGATGGCGATGAGATCAATGTCGAAATTGAAAACATTGGCACGTTGGTCAACAAGGTGCGGTACGAATAGATAGCGTTGCTTATATAGAAAAGAATATTCATTTGCATTTATTGTCCATCGCGAAGCGCGAGATGTTGTAATCTAGACCTGAGAGATGCAGTATATGTGCTATCCGACACCTTAGGGATAGTAGCAGGCTTGAGGACCCTCGCATGATCATGGATATCCAGCGTCTTTAGAATAGCACAGCTATAATGTATATCTTCCACGAGCCATGAGAATCCAAAGTATAATGAGTATAATGGAGAGATCCGTTACAGTCGCTCCGGTCGGCACCGTAGCAGAACTAGTTCAAGAACCATGATGGGACCTCAGGGCCCCAAACCGCCAACGACTCATCCCCCGCAGGCCCATACCCAATTGGAGTCTCCTCGTTAATCAAATCCCCATCTGCATAATGTTCCACCATATTACCAGTGGTATCCCACCAGTAATCAAAGATTTGGGAGCCTAGGATATGTCTCCCCACACCCCAAACCGATTCATATCCCTTCCCGCTCAAATACTGATGGCCAAGGTGCTGCGTATCAATGTCATGGACCTCAAAGGAACAATGATGGACATGGGAGGTCGGGTTCGTGCTCAAGAAGAAGCTGTGATGATCGACATAGTCTGTTCCACGGTCGATATGTGCGAAGAGAGCGACATTCTTTTTCTGACCGTCCTTCTCAACGTGCAGAAAATCACTCGGCACGATATTGAAGTTCGTAGTGTAGAAGTTTACTAATTCGTCGAACTTCTGAACACAGAGTCCGAAGTGCCCAAGCTGGTTTAACTTCATTAGCACTGAATTTATACACAGGGGTAGAGGAGAAAGCGTACCTTATGAACGGCCGCTGGACCTGGATTGAATCGCTGGAATTTCCGAATCCGTGGTTTCTCCGACTCTGTATTCACGATAATGCTCGTCGGGTATTCACCAGCCTCGCGTGGCTCTTGACCACAGATCAGGTTCACAGGGAATCCCTCCGGATCAGTCAGAGTCAGCAGATACCCTCCACCGGGAGCCTCCGACAAGTCTTGAATTTCCCCAGCACCAGGCAGTTGCGCCGCTCTACACGATCAGTAATCTTCTTTTTTTCACGAGCCATGGGAAACCAGGGTAAGCAACTCACTTCTCTAATTCCTGGTATGATTCCACCTCAAACGTACCCCCTAAGAACTTCTTCTCTCCCCTCTGTGCATAATATACATATTGATCCGTTCCATACCCGCGATACCAAATCCGATCGTCCGTCTTCTGCACCACTTCCATCCCAAAGTCCTGCAAAAACACCGTAATCTCATTCAAGTCCGGATGCTGGTACCGCATGTGCGACAGTTTGACCAGTCGGGTCTGCTTCCCGGTATCAATATTGCATCGCTTCCTCCACGATGCGACCGACTCTTGGTCCGGGCCGATGGCGGTAATATCGGCAATCGAGGCCCCTTGAGCCGGGGCGGGTAGTTCGCGCTGTTTTTTTTTTCCATTTAGTGCTCACTTGAGCGGGCCAATCCTGGGGGAGAGGAGCGGTAAGTTCTTACCACGATCATACTGTATAACTAGTTGCTTACCGGGGTTTAGTTGTGCTGTGTTGAGATCTCAATGTGCTCCTGTTTCTTTCTGCTTATATGGATTACCCCGTCGGTTTCCCCGCATGGTGGAAGATCCGAGGGGCGTGGCTTAATTCCGTGGGTTGTCCCACCGTTCCTCAGCTCATGTCCCACATTCTCTTTGTGGGGCCTGTTTATGTTCCTGGTTGTTGGCATTGACTGGTGTATAATTTATCGGGGCTGTTGATCTTCCGTCTAAACTTTAAATCCTGATTCGGTTTATATCGAGGGAATGCACCGATATTTCGACATTGGGGTGGTATGAGACTGTGGGATGGTGGGCATTGCCTGCTTTGTATCGGAGTATACAAAGGGCTGGCCCGATGTGGGGCCTAATGGAAGACACAATATGTGAAAGTCGAAAGCGAGCAAGAACATCCAGACAGGAAAGATCAAGACCCCCCAACAGCACAGATCTGAGATGAATTAGTTAAATATCAGGCCAACACTGCCCTTAAAAACATATTTCAAAATTAGCCTGGCAACTCAATTCAATTAGATCTTCCACCAAGTGGAGCGTCCGCGATATCTTCTCGGACATCGCATTAGTGTTCGTTGATCGCTTCAATATCGCATAAAAATATATATATCTGAAGGTAACAACTAGTGCATTTTACCACCATGAATTCCTATGTATCTAGCAGAAATTACTAGTCACACCTATCTTCAATCCTGTGTTTATTGACATGTAGCCTAATGGGCATCAGACCATGTCCACCGACTTGGCCTTCACACTACCGGATCGGAGTGAACGAGCCTGCCACCCGGAAATCCCTGCTTGAGAAACCAACGTATGCTTGCATCAACCCGCTTGGTATTGCCCACTGCTGCCTTGTAACGTCCCAGCGACTAAGATCCCTCCTCGTTAACTGGAAAGTGACATTTCTAGCCTCTCCGGGCTGGAGCTGCACCTTCTCAAATCCCCGAAGAACATTAACTGCTGAAGCCGCCTCAGTCATTTCTTTAGGAAGACTCAAGTAAAGCTGTGGCACCGCAGCCCCAGCTACCTGCCCAGTATTTTTCACAGTAATGGAGATTCTGTAAAGTACTTCCCAGAGATTGGGGTTTCCTCCCGGGATGATTTTTGCATCCGCCGGCAGAGCAGACAATTCGCCATTGGATAGCGGAGTGATGGAGATGCTCTTTCCGATTGAAAAGGTTGTGTATGAAAGACCGTATCCGAATTCGTATTGTACCGTTTTATTATAGTAATCGAAATGTCCTACGAATTTCCAGTGTGTCCTGTTAGTATGCTTTTGAGGTCTCCCGATGGTGGGCTTCAGAAGCAAGTGGAGGTCGGAGGAAATACGCACGGTAATCAATCAACACCCCTTCTTTGAAATCAGATTGCCATGCTATTGGATCATCGGTGTTTTGGAGGGCTGTAGAATTTTGAATCGGAGCAAAGGAATAGTCAGATTGTCGCTTTGCGATCGTGTAGGGCAGGTGGCCGGACGGGTTGACGTCTCCCCAGAGCACATCGACAATGCTGCTGCCGGCTTCTTGGCCTGGAAGATGGGCAGCCAGGATGGCGGTGACATTGGGATGGTCTGCCCAGGGAAGGACGTTGACGCCGTTGGAGTGAGTCACGACCACCGTATTTGGGCACGTAGATGCGATCTTCTCGACAACCTCGTCGCCATTCCAGTCCGAGTGGAGGGACGTGCGGTCTTCGCCTTCGGTTGCCCAGCTTTTCAAGAAGACCAGGCAGACGTCCGGGGACGATGGGAGCAGAGCTTTGAGGCTGGTTTCGTTAGCGTCAGCTCGGTGGAGGGG